TCTTTGGTTTCATACTCGCCATTCACCTGCTGAACAATTAATTGCGAGTCACTAAAAACTATCAAATTCCTGACCTTCAGCTCCTTGGCAAGCTTAAGTCCTGCCAGTAGTGCTTCATACTCCGCTTCATTGTTGGTAACTCTGAATTCAAGCCGGAGCGCTTGATTCAAGGACGTACCTTCTGGCGTCTGCAGTTTGACCCCAATGCCTGCACCCATCTGATTTGAGGATCCATCGACAAAGAGTTTCTACAAGCAACCACGAAGGTCTTCCTCCACGTCCTCTGAATCACATTCTAGTAAAAAATCTGCCACCGCCTGCCCCTTGATTGCCATTCTGGGTTCGAATGTGATATCAAATGAGCTTAACTCTATGGCCCACTTCGTCATCCTTGCTGAGAGGTCCGGTTTGTGCAGGATTACTCTGATAGGGAAAGTAGTTAGAACGATGATAGGATGGGATTCAAAATAATGCCTGAGCTTTCTTTTTGCATGCACTAGCGAGAGTATCACCCGCTCTGCCTTTGAATAACGTCGTTCGGCCTCAGTCATTGTCTTGCTAACATAGAACACTGGATATTGCTTCCCCTCTACACAGCGGATCAAAACACCACTTGTCGCGATGCTGGATACCCCGAGATATAAAAATAGCTTTTCGCCCGGTTCTGGAGCTGACAGGAACGGAAGGTTCTGCAAATACTCTTTCAGAGCAGTCAATGCTAGGCGCTATTCATTCCCCCAAACTTGTCTGCCATGGCTTCGTATTGTGTCAAAAAATGGTTTGCAGCGATCCGACAATTTGGAAATGAACCGGCTCAGTGCAGCAATCCGTCCCATAAGTGTTTGCACTTCTTTGACTGTCGTCGGCTCGGCATTCTTGGTCAGAGCTTCTGCTTGGGCAAGGCTTGCCTCTATGCCTCTATGATTAACCACATATCCCAGGAATTGGCTGGAACTTACACCGAATGAGCACTTGGGTGGATTGAGCTTCATTCCATATTGCCTCAACACATCAAATACGTCTCGTAGATGTTTAGATGGTCAACTTTCTTCTTACTTTTTACCACCATGTCATTAATGTAAGCTTCCACGGTCTTCCCTATTTGGCCCTTGAAAATTTTGCTAATAAGCCTTTGGTAAGTTGCTCCGGCGTTCTTCAGTCCGAATGGCATGACCTTGTAGCAATACGTCCCGCGTTCGTTAACAAAATAAGTTTTCTCTTCATCAGCAGGATCCATGAGGATCTGATTGTAACCTGAATAAGCATCTAAAAAGGTTAAACGCTCATACCCAGTAGTAGCATCCACCATTTGATCAATTTTCGGCAGCGGAAAGCTATTCAAATTGGTGAAATCAATGCATACTCGCCATTTCCCATTCTTCTTCTGCACGACAACAACGTTTGACAACCAATCAGAATAATACACTTCTCGCACAAATCCCGCATCAAGCAGCCTGTCAACCTCCTCGGCAATGATCCGATTGCGCTCTGGAGCAAACCGTCGCTGCTTCTGCTTTACAGGTCTTACATTGGGATTAACATTCAAGGAGTGACAGGATACAAAAGGATCGATCCCAGGCATGTCTAGGTGGCTCCATGCAAATACATTGGCGTTTTGAGACAAGAAATTAACTAACTCCTGTTTCTCCTCCATGGCGAGTTGTTCCCCCACTCTGGTTGTTCGTTCCGGTCGGAACCGATCGATCTGCACATCAATCAGGGGTTCTTCGGTCAAGTCCACTGGCTCCTCCTCCCCACTCTGCTTGGAGGGAGGCTCCTGTAATTGTTATCCCGGGCTTGCTGAACAGACGAGAGCTTTCCCTTTTCCAGCATACTTCAGCGTTACTGAATAACATTCTTTAGCTGCAACCTGGTCCCCATGAATGTCAATCACCTTGGTTCCGTCTGGCCCCAGGCATCTCATTACTTGATACAGAGTGAAAGGAACACCTTGAACTCCGTGGATCCACCCTCTGCCCATCAGAAGGTTGTAAGAGGGATGAATCTCGACAACCACAAAGGTCTCCATTAGAACCCTTTCTGCAGCGTGTACTGCTACCTCCACCGTACCGATGGGCTCCACTCGTTTTCCATCAAACCCTAGCAAAGGATTCCCAGTGGATTTGAGCCGATCCGGCTTGATCCCGAGCCGATCAAGTGTGTCCCTCGGCATGACGTTCGCACTACTTCCAGGATCAACCAGAACTCTGCGTACCAAACATTTGGCTACCGTCAAACTGACAACCAACGGGTCCTCATGAGGGATCTGAACACGCAATAAATCTGTTCTGTCAAACTTTATTTGTGTTAATGCGCTCTGTTGGTGCAGAGAGTTTACACTGCCTATCCTCCTCTTCATCCGTGCCTGGCGAAGGCGTGTTCGAAGCAGCTCATCTGACTCTTCGGTAGGCTCAGGCCGGCCGTGAATTGCATTGATTACTTGAACTGGTTGCGTATTGTGAGAGTTCGACTTCTGACTCCTCTTCACGTGCTCCATTGGTCGGTTCTGTTCCACCACCGGACCTTGAATATAACTTGCGAACTCCCCTCTGACTATCAGCATCTCTACCTGTCTCCTTAAGTTCTTGCATTCATTAGTCTGATGGCCAAAGTCAGAATGAAATGCACAATGCTTAGACTGATCCCTCTGTTCGAGGGGTTGTCTGATTGGTAAAGGAGATCGGAACTTATCTTTATTTTCTTGGTACAACCTTACTAAGGTAACTTTCAATGGAGTAACCAACTCTTCCTCCCTAGGCCTCTTCTCAGATTTCCACGAGGGCTGACGCTGTGGCTGAACCTGCTTTTGTCTGATCTTTGCTTTGGTTTTTTCCTCTGTTGATATGACGGATGTCTTCCGAGCCTTAGCCACCTCTTCTTCTTCCAAGCGCACAAATCCATCAGCTCTTTCATTAAGTTCATCCATAGTCTTCGGCGTATTCACTACCAAACTTGTGTGGAATGGAGTGCCACGAGTCATAGCCAGTATAAATGCTTGAACCGCCGTAGAAGGATGACATTCAATCACCATACTCTTAGTAAGGTTAAACCTGGTCAGGAAAGCTTGGAGACGCTCATCCTCATACTGCTTCATTGTGAATAGGCTCGAAATGTCCTTTGCTAGACGCTTATTTCCATAATATTGGCTTATGAACCGATCGCACAAGCTTCGGAAACTATCCACTGAGCCCCTCGGTAGGTTCTTGAACCAATTGAGCGCTGGTCCAGCAAGACTCGTAGGGAAGCACTTGCACATCAATGAATCATTCTCAGTGTTCAGAGCCATTTTCAACTGGATATGATACACATGATCGATCGGATCGGTCGTTCCGTCGAACAGGATGAAAACGGGCATGGAAAATTTCCTCGGACTCGAAGCATTCAGAATTTCATCGGTGAACGGTGAATCAACTATTCGAGCTGCTGAACGGAGGACTTCATTTTCCCTCTAGAACCCTGTGATTGCTCTCTGATCTACAGATCTCCTCTCTAAGCTACGATAGTCGAACGTCGCCACGGAAGGCCGATAAGTCGGATCGAATGATCTGTCCTCAACAAACTCATTGTGCCACGGCGATATAGCTTTGTGACGAGGCTGGGCGTTTCTTGATGTGGATCGAAAGTCATAGCTTCGTTTCGCTTGTTCTGTTCACGCTGTGGATCCACATGAGTTGATCCTTCACGATTATCAACGCGACTAGGATTTGGCGGCAAATCGTTTGGCCGGACTTCCTCGCGGTGAAGATCTGTCTGATTGTTCCCTAACTCCTCGCCGGGATGTGCCGCATCGGTACGTGCAACTTCTTCTCCTACCGGGAGCGGTCGCGGAATCACCGAAACTTCTTGACGCTGCATTTCAGTCCTTAGATCTGCATTCTCTCTCCGGAGAGCTTCGATCATGCTCATCAACTCGTCAAGTTTCATCTACTGGACGTTCTCTACCGTATTGGAGTTCTCACCCCCTATCATGATTCCGGAGCGAAGCAAAGGCATGAATTACGAATTCTTAACTAGATCTGAGCGTTACCGATGCGAATTTCGCCAGATCCGGACTCAACTTTACCGAATCGTGGTCATCGTTTGCTAGATCTGAGCTTTTCTAGCTTTGAATTCACCGGATCTAACTGCAATTGAACAAATCACAGTTGCGTAATTCCGAAGCAAATGCCTCAAAATCAACAACAAGCAAGAATCTTCTCTGAACAAACCACAATCTCACTGATCTGGATTCAGCTTCCAGAAATCAAACTTTGAGTTCACGAATTCGCTTGAATTAACATGATATTGATCAAGCTCGAATCGATCTTCTTCGTCGATTCCCACAGACGACGCCAATTGAAGATGCAAAGATTTTTCTATCTTTTCTTTTTACAGAATTTTATCACATTTTCAATAATCAAAAATCCAATCCCCCTTTCATTCTCTTCACTGCCCTTTTATAGCCAACTACCAGTGCTGCTGGTCTATCTCTTTTGGGCCTTCTTTCCAATGGGCTCAGTCCTCTTCAGTGGATCCAAGATCAGCCCATTCCATGGTGCTTTTGTATGGGTTATACTTCAATTGTTTGCCCCGATCCAATGCCAACGAACTACGACCGACCCATACCACTTAGTGTATCCTCACTTTTCATATATTAGGATAATACAGAGAATTCAAGTCCCTATGGGACAAATGGATCTGTGAGTTTCTCACCAACGGAAAAAAAAAAAATTTGATGTAAGTTTTCAGAATAGGACTTCAGCTCCTTGGAGACTCCTTGCCGCTCGAAGCGAAATTTCTCCCCCTATATGCTATTTCTATTTTGGCAAGTATTAGTGAACACTTCCCAAATTGCCCCCAAAGAAAGAAAAAAAGAAACAAACAGCAACAATAATATATATAAAAATTCACAAAGCAACACCATGTAATAAAATCATGAAACACAAGGGTAATCAACTGTCGTGATCTTGTTGTGGTACACCACATTTCATTAATAAGGCAAGAAAAATGAAAGAACGCACCTTGAGGAATTAATCCCCAGCATTGAGAATCTGTGGACAAGCTCGACCTCAAGCGAGCCGAAGCTATAGCACTGTGCGATGGCATCATTGATTCCAAGCTGCTCAACTCCACCGGTAATCTAACCACCCCAAACATATATAATTAAAGCACATACACACACATGTACTGATATACGTAATATACAGTGTTTTCATGTGCATAGATGTATACAAAAATATGGAATGCGATTGATAAAGTACAAAAACCCGATGCTTAAACGTCAAACCTATATATGCGTCTACCGGAAATGGAGGGCCGAGACTGAGAGGTCGATTTGATGAGTGATGATGTATTGGCTGATTTAGACGCATTTTTATTGAGTTTGAGAGCCAGAGGTTTTAGACGAGATGATAACCTAGACAGCACCGTCGAAGACGCCATTGAAGAGCACGGTTTGTTTTTTTAAGAGGTAAATTACACGGACTCTGCTTGTCCCTTGTTTTGCCTCATTGGGCTGTTTTTTGTGACCCAGCAGTACACTAGGGCTGTTCGGCCGAAGGCCTCTATGCAATCACTTTCTATATATCAGTTGCTTAAAATTTTGGTAAAAAAAAAAAATGAAATTGGGCCTGTTTCTCGGTCTAGTTGCGTGGGTTTAAAACTTTAAATGCAACATTTTTTATTAATATGTTTTTTTTCGTTTGTTTTTTTGGAAAAAACACTTTTTACTCTTTTGATGTTTTTGGGACCTTGTATTATTAATTTTGAAGATCTTGTAATTGTTACATGTTTATTTATTTATTATTATTTTTTTACAAGTATCGTATTACCCTTGTGTTGTTTTCTATTGAAACTTTGACTTTTCTATTTTCTCTAACCACTGCACAAAAACACATAACCCCCTAATATCCTTGTTGTTCGTGCGCACCTGTCTCCCTAACATCCTTGTCATTCGTACGTGCGTGTGTGTCCCCGTGTGTGTGCGCGCGTGTGTTTGTTATTATTACTAAGATCAATATATCATAATATGTATTTTGGTTCAGAATAGATGAGTGAGTTCGTTCATTGAAAAAAAGAAAATTTAAAATTGAAATGCAGGGACTCTAGTGCTTGTTAATAGTCCTATCAAGTTTTTTTGGGTTTATTACTTTCTCACATCCAATTACGATATATTTATACACACAACTTTCACTAGTGTTTATTGAGAGCAATTCCAAGCATTGCTCAAACTCCCCACCCGTGGAAATTGGCTAGAGCCCTGAAGGGTTATTGAAATTGTTCCTATACTAATATTTTAACAAGTCCGTGATACAATCACACATTTCATGTCATCCTTACTCATACAATAATAATTTTTGAATTATATATTATTATTTCTATCTTATATTGGTAGTCCACAAATTGCACGTCCACTTAAAATCTTTTAAAACTAAACATAAACATTTAATAGGAGATGAAATGAGTTTTTCCTTATTAAAGTGTTTATCAATGTATCACGTATAATTAATAAATAAATTAAATTGTTCCGAAGCAAACACTAAATTTGTTATCACATTTAAACTCTAATTAAATCCTCGCCTATTGAATTGGTGTCTTGAATTTAAAATAAAATAAAAAAATTATTTCAAAATTTATATTAAATTTTATTTACTCCTAAATTTAATGTACAGATTCTTAGCATTAGACTCTTTATACCTAACCATGTAAAAAATAAAAAAATAAAAAAAAACTATGCACCTCTGAGCGCCCATAGAGCACTAACACGGGGATCCGTGCCATCTCGTTTCGGTGACCAATAAATTGCACTTTTGATATATAAATACTAGTTATGGTTCCTAATTATCTTCATAAAGATAAGGCCGGACCCATATCTGGTACTCGTGTTTCGTTGCAAACTTCCAATTTTTGATAACAAACTGTTCAATCACGATCGTCTTGTTTTGATGAAGCACCGAACGATTAATACTAATGCACATGTAAATGAACAATACATTGTCACCAGAAATGAGAAAACCTCGGGTTTTAGAAATGTTCATACACCAATAACCGCAGAGTCGTTGCGTGACTCATCAGTCAAGTTCACACTTTGGGCAATAAATATCACCCTATATAATACGAATCCCACTCTCGCTCTCATCAACACCATTTATCACCACCATTATTCTCTTCTGAATTATTCACTGAAGAAACCCTAGCTCTGTTTCTTCATCTTCTATCGCGTGAATTTTAATGGCAGAGGTTCGAGTGACTATGGAGGTCGGGAGCGACGGTGTTGCGATCATCACCATCTCTAACCCTCCAGTCAATGCGCTGGCCATCCCAAGTAAGCCGTCAAAGATCTCCGATCTGCGGTTTTCATGCTGTGTGATGGATTTCCACTCTAAATTATATATTTATAAATTCTGTAATTGTTTGTTTGTGTTGTAGTTATTGCCGGTTTGAAGGAGACATTTGACGAGGCGATGAGGAGAGATGATGTGAAAGCTATTGTTTTGACTGGTGATTTTTAAATTGACCTGTTTCACTTTTGAGTTTGATGTGCTCTTTACACTTATTGATATGTTAGGTACAAAATTACAAATTTTCTCTGGCTATTATATTTGAAGATGCCATTTCAGCTGAGCCATAGTCCATCTTTATTGCAACAAAAGAACTTTTCCCAGAAAATGAATTCTAATACTTGGCGTTAAGATGAATTTTTCTCAAGCCTTTGCAGGAAATAGAAACTGTTTTTCTATTTTCTTTTTCCCAAAGACTTTTTTTTTTTTTTTCCTGAAAACACAACCAATCAAAGAAAAAAGGGCCATATTAATGTGCCCCCAAAAAATTAATAATAACAATAACTGGCTACCCTTGTGTCATTCTCTAATAAATTTTTAATTTGCCAAGTTTGGGAAAATTTGAGTTAATTTTGCATATATATAGAGAGAGATAGTAGCATGGAGAATAATTTTTGGACTTTGAGGTTATGAAAGGATCCTCAGTCTAGTTTTCACCCATACAAACATGTGGCATTCTTATTGCCTGAATAACTATTAGGGAAGTCAATGGTTGGTCACACGTAGTTGAAAAGACCAAGACAATATCAAAACTTGCACCTGCCTCTTGTGATCTTTGTTGCGTGGATAGATTTCCATCCATGATATGTAATAAAATCATGACCTTATACATTAATCTCTTACTAAAACTATGACCTAATAGTGCTTTTGCTTCCAATTGCTATGACTTATTGAAATTTACCTGGTATACTAATTATGCAGCGACTATTATCTCATTGTACATTGTACCTCCAGTGACAAAATTTATTAGTCCTTAGTATTGTTTGGATCTTTATGAACATACCAGTATATTTATATAGGTCTTTAAGTTTTAAGAAGGCGGATTTTTGCTGCTGTTTGAACTCTAGTTTCTGAAGCATGTTTTCTTTACTTAATTTGAAGGCAAAGGTGGGAGGTTTTGTGGTGGTTTCGACATCAATGTTTTCCAAAGTGTTCACAAGACTGGTATGAGTTAACTAAAAATACTTATTGCGGTTGAGCTTTTAAAATTTGGATCTGATTATTGAGAAAAAAAACTCTGTTGTTTGGCCTCGCAGGGGATATCAGTCGTTTACCAGATGTATCCGTTGAACTTGTGGTCAACACGATTGAAGGTCTTTACTCGTATTAGGGTCTTGGGAAATTAGGACTTACATTTGAAACTTTATCTGAGAATGAGTTTTTGTTCATTTCTCGTGTCATTTAAGCATCATTTTTACTTATCACTCTGCTGATCTTTCGGCTTTCATAACCTCAGATGCCAAGAAGCCTGCAGTTGCTGCCGTGGAAGGACTGGCACTTGGAGGTGGCTTAGAATTGGCAATGGTTTGTGGTCTCTATGAGTTGAAACAGTTTTGACAACTTCATTTTCTTGACAACTGTTTGTATGAATGAGTCATCCCAATTAACTTTGTGCAGGGCTGCCATGCACGTATTGCTGCACCAAAAGCTCAACTTGGGTTGCCAGAGCTGACACTTGGAGTTATGCCTGGGTTTGGAGGTGCAGCTGCTGCTGAATTCTATTTTTTCTATATATCTTTAACTTTAGGTCTAGGAACAACTGATGTTATGTGTGTGTGTGTGTGTGTGTATAGTCATTAAAAGTTGACTGAACCCATAATCTATTGGTTACTCTCTAAGGAACACAGCGGCTTCCAAGGCTTGTTGGGCTGCCAAAGGCTATTGAAATGATGCTGGTAAGCCTTCCCTTTTAGTTTAATAAGGAAGTTAGAAGTTCGACAAACATTGATCTAAAGGTTCTAAAGAACACCATGTATGAACACCATGTATGCACGCATTCTCTTTGAATTATCAGCCATAAGATTTTGGTTGTTCATCTAATCAAAGAGTATTTATCGGCAAAACAACCATGAAAAAGAACTAACAGCGAAATATGCTGGAATGAAACTACTACGTGTGTTTAGTGTCTAAAAAGTTACTTTAGGCTATTCTCTTTGTATTAGCTTCTGTATAGAAGTGATCAAGTTTTCTTTTGCATTAATGTCAATCCTCTATTACTAATAATTGTTTGCAGTCATCTAAACCAATAATGTCCGAAGAAGGGAAGAAGCTAGGTCTTGTTGATGCTGTTGTGTCTTCTCAAGAATTGTTGAGCGTAGCTCGACTATGGGCTTTAGACATTGCGAATAGACGCAAACCCTGGATGCGTTCTCTTCACAAGACAGACAAGCTTGGTTCCTTGTCTGAAGCGCGTGAGATATTGAAAGTTGCAAGACAACAAGCCAAACGGACTGCTGCAAACTTGCCTCAGCACCAGGCATGCCTTGACGTGATTGAGGAAGGCATTGTTCATGGAGGGTATAGTGGGGTTTTGAAGGTATTGTTAGCCTTGGGGCTTACTTTAGTCATTAGGAAGTTGAAAGTTGGTTTACTTTCAAAACGAATTTCTGTGCTGTTTTTCAACTTCCATGGGTTTTTGGTTTTCTTCCTATTGGAAGACAACGTTTATTTATCTCCTCAAGTCATTGGTGAATGTGATTACTTATTTTATAGGAGACTGCTTGAGCTTCACACCATGCGGGGAACCATTCTGAGTTTTCTAAGAGTGACTTTTTAGTTTGTTCTGCTGTCTTTTGAATAATTATTATACAAGCTAATATGCTATGGAATATTTTTTTTCAGGAGGCCAAAGTATTTAAGGAGCTAGTCATATCAAATACTTCAAAAGGTCTTGTTCATGTATTTTTTGCCCAACGTGCAACATCAAAGGTAGAATAGCCTTTAAAATCAACGCACTACCAATTTTGGCGCTTCACATATTTTTAATTTGCGTCATCTCATCCCCCAATACACACACACACCTATGTATAGATAGTTATGTGTGTCTTGTTTGTATTTGTACTGTGGGATCTACATATCTTAGTGAAATCTACCATATTTGTGATGGCTATGTCACTTACTTTCATGTATGTGGATAAGAACTGTATTATTAAGAAATTTTGTGAACCAGAAGTAAATTTCTCTTTTCCATCATCCGAAATTCTTGCCTAGTTCACAATTCACACCCTAAAAATGTGTGGTGGTGCAGGTACTTTGCACATTTTGAAATGTCTATGTACCAAAGTTCCATTTTCACAACAAGTTATACTTTCCTGCGAAAGAAAAATGAATTACACAACACAAAAAGCTTTAATGTATAAGTTTCTGACCATATGATTCTACATAGGGTCTGAGACTCCAAATCTGCCATGTTAAACAAATCAACATTGCGCATGTGGATTGTGTGTGTAAACATATTAAACATGTTCATCTGTTATGTACTTGTTATAATTTCTGCATTTTTAATAATCGCGATTATATGAAATTACACACACCACACATGTATATATGCATGTATAACTTTTTAAATATATATATATAAGACTTTATGAAGGAAAATATATCAAAGGTTTTCTGTCATTTTTCTCTTTTCCAAAGTTTTCTGTTTAAGCTCCTGTTCTAGACTTCCATAGATATTGGTTTTTCTTGCTATGCATGTTCTAATCACTGTAAAAAACTCCAATTTTTTCTGAATGATTTGTACTTTTTTATTTTCTATTTTTTTGGTCAAACAAATGAAACCTGAATTGATCTTGTAAATTGTTATAGTTCCTAATTATCTTCATTATGGAAAATAACTTCTGTAACCATGGAACTAATCAACCTCATGAATGCCCTATGTTGCACCCAATCCTCTTCTTCCTTTCAGATCCTCGGATACATTATTATGCTACCACAGTTACTATTTAAAAGGATTGGAACATTTTATGGATGAACCATGTTCATTTGACTTTCCAAGTACTAATCACTTGGATTATCACGTGTTTTATATGAACAAGCTTGTTCTAATTATATGATCCATGACATTTTCCCCCTAAATTGTTGGATAACTGTTGAATGAGTTCCTCCTTTTATGAGCGTGTACCAAAAGATCCTGTAGGTATAGAAGTTAAGTACATATTCCGACACCTCATTATAACCATATTGGCGTGTTGCAATTCCTTATCTGCCTTGTTTGTGCAAAACTGCAAATTTCTAGCTATACTATCAATGTCGTTGATCTGTCTTATTATTAGATCTTTCCATTTCAAGGTTGAAGATTACTCAATTGGTTCATTATTGTGAAATAACTTCCAACTTCAAGCAGGTACCTAATGTTACTGATGTTGGCCTCAAACCTAGGCCTGTAAAGAAAGTTGCTGTAATTGGTGGAGGTTTAATGGGTTCTGGCATAGCTACAGCTCTTATATTGGGCAACATATATGTGATTCTCAAGGAAGTTAACTCTGAATATCTTCAGAGGGGCATTAAAATCATAGAAGGTAGTTGCTTCATTTGCAATGTTTGTTAAGAGTAGTATATTTCATTTAGTATTAGTATGGCTTTCAATTCGTTGGTGGGACATAGTATGAAGAAATATTTCATTAATGTTTTACTGAATATCATTAAGAAAACTTTGTGCGCTATGCTGGGATATTTTTCATTATTGTTGGGCATGGTGCAGTGGGAGATCTTATTTTTCCATTAGAAACAAGTGATTATATATTTTAACAAGTTGAAAATTGAAATCCCAACCTTAACATAGCCATTGTACATGGTAGATGGGTGTGATTCAAACTCAACTTTTTTTTACCTGATATTTAACCATTGAGTATTTTGCATTTGAGAGTGTTATGATTGACATACATTACAGCAAACGTCCGAGGCTTAGTTACAAGAAAAAAATTGGCACAGGATAAGGCGGACAAAGCCCTCTCAATGCTTAAAGGTGTTTTGGACTACTCAGAATTTAGAGATGTAGATATGGTCATAGAGGTATGGTCCCTCCTGAGGTTTCAGTTTCTTAGGCAAAGAGGAACTTAAGAGTTCTATGTTATCAAAAGAATTCTATTACTCTGTCCGCTTCAGTTCCCCCCCGCTGTGATACTAAAATTCCTATGGATGTTTTCTTTGGTTCATTGGGAGTGTTACAGGTTGTTTGATATGGTTTTCAACATTTCTCGAATTGCAGGCTGTCATTGAGAAAGTTCCACTGAAGCAAACAATATTTAGTGAAATTGAGAAGGCTTGCCCTCCCCATTGCATTTTGGCTACAAACACATCTACTATTGACCTCAACTTAGTGGGGGAAAAGACCAGCTCTCAAGATCGCATCGTGGGGGCACATTTTTTCAGGTTATAAAATTTATAATCATTGTGATAAAAAGGGATTAGAGAGCCATGATCTATTTTTGGGTAAATTACACTTACCTCCCTTGAGGTTTGGGCAAATCTCACATGGGTGGAGCTTTTGAGGTTTATTACTCTGACCTCTCTTAAGACTATAAAAAGTCAATTTTACCCTTATATTTAATATATTTTTATAATAGAAAATATATTATAAAATCTTAAAAAAAACAATTTTCTATCTCATCTCTCTTATTACTTTCTCTCTCCTCTCCACCACCGTTACCCCCTCCTGTAAGGGCCAAAGGTTTGATCTGACTGGTGGTTCAGATTGTGGTAGTCAGCCTCTGGTCTGTCCATCCAGCCCAATTGTCCAACCCGGCCTTGTAATCATAAAAATAAAAATAAAAATAAAAAATTTGAGAGAATTTGGTGGTAATAAACCACCAGGAGAAGAAACTGAAAATTTGAATACACCCTTAGATAGGAAAAAGTTAGGTTACAAATGAAATTTGACACTGGATGAAACTTGAAGCTGAAACCTTGAACTTTTTCTCCTTTCACTTATTAATTGTTGCCTTCTTTTCTTTTACTGTGCAATTTGTTGTATGAACTTAATAACATGTATTGATGTTCCAAATATGGTAAGAAAGGATTTTTTTATTATTTTACCTTCACTGTTTATTTCTCACATGGTTCTTCGATGAACAGTCCTGCTCATGTGATGCCTCTCCTGGAAATCGTGCGGACTGAAAAGACTTCTGCACAAGTAATTCTTGATCTCATGACAGTTGGAAAAATCATAAAGAAAGTACCCGTTGTGGTGGGAAACTGCACTGGCTTTGCTGTCAATCGAACTTTCTTTCCATACACTCAAGGCGCGCATATTTTGGTCAATTTGGGTGTGGATGTATTCAGAATCGACAGGCTAATCAGCAGTTTTGGCCTCCCTATGGGTCCATTCCAGTAATCTTCTTCCCTTAATCTTATGTGATATTGGAACCAACGATCCCATACTGGATTCAAAAAGTAAGAAAAAAATGGAGGAAAAGATCCAAGTCCTAGCAGTCTTTCTAAAAATAGGTGGTCTGTGTTTCCTGTGGTATGTGTTTGATGAGAGTTAGCTTCCTGTCATCTCTATTTTATATGCCATTCAGCATTATTCTCAAACCTTACCTCATTTATGTGCCAATTAGCACATGTATATGGTCAGCCTGGCTGATTTATTTATTTATTTATTATTTTTACCTGCACTTGACTGTGTTAACAACGGTGGCCTAGGCAGTGCTAAAATGATACGATATTGACGTGTGTTGTAGTGTCATTGGTGATCATAAATTTTCACTTTTTTGGAGGTTGTAGAGTGTGTCAGTTTTGTGATTGGGAGTGTTGTAATTATTACAACTGGAATTCGCGAAATTTTCTTTTTCATTTGCTGAGAAAACAAGAGTAATAGGTAAGAGGGCAGAGCTTTTGTGCTCTTGTGAGGCAAAGGGTAAAACACCATGACATAAGGAATGCATATCCCAAATATTTGAATTTATAGTTATTATTTTAAAAGAAAAAGTTAGAGAACATGAGTGACAATACAATTAACAGGAAATGAAAAAAAAAGAAAGAAAGAAGAAAAACATTACATGTAGAAGTTAAAAATAAATTTGTTGTGAAGGAATGAAGGCAGATCAGAGTTGAAGATAATTGGTTTCGAATATCAATATACACATCAAGACAGATAATCTATTATTTAGAATAATGGATACAGAAGTTTGTTGACATCAAGAACTCAGTAATAACAGATCAAGTGTTTGTTAAAACAAATGCAAAATCATGAAGAGATTTGTTGATTGAGCTGCAGAAGCTGGTTGAGAGTTGCAACACGCACCATGCACCATGCATTTCAAATCTAACCTGTTATCAAGTTGTGAGGGTGTGTATGACTGCTTTATATGCTGAATATCAAGCTCAAGTAACTTGAGCATTCTGTTTTTGTTTTCACACCTTGTCCATGAGACTTCCACACACAGAAGAATCCTCAACAGCCTTTGTAGATGACTCTTTTTAGAGTTTTCTTGTAAATTTTTAAAGCATGTGTGCTTGCAATTCTGCATTTGGGGAGGTTTCTAGATGGAGGATGGTGAAATACGATTCTTGTTGTCATGTGGCATCATTCAGGATATAGCTGTTCTTGAAGCTGGCAAGCCTTTTTTAGATATCGACTCTAATCAGCGTTCAAAATTTTCAGAGTTGTTTCTCAATGCATGCATGTCTATCTGGCTACTGTATGAGGTTTTTAACGGATGAAGGAATGTGATTCTTTTGAATTATGCTTGCAGGCTTCAGGATTTAGCCGGATATGGAGTTGCCCTTGCTGTTGGGAAAGAATTTGCTACTGCTTTTCCAGATCGGACGTTCCGATCTCCTTTGGTTGGTCTTCTGGTGGAAAGTGGGCGAAACGGTATGACACAATATTATTACCATCTTCGTCCTTCTTGTTACCTTTTGGGGTATTGCTTTGGACTTCATATGACACTTCTGTTGTTACAGGTAAAAACAACGGAAAAGGATACTACATATATGAGAAGGGAAGCAAGCCAAAACCTGATCCTTCAGTGCTACCAATCATTGAGGAGTCTAGAAGGCTCACCAATATTATGCCTGGTGGAAAGGTACCCTTGCTGTTCATTGAAAACAGATTTTCTGTTGAGATTTATTTCATGCAATCACAAAACCTTTGTTTTTTTTTTTTTTTTCTACTTACCAATAGAAGAAACAGATTTTGTGATTGCATGAAACGAATTTCAACAATTTTCCAAGTTGATGTGTTGTTGGCCCACAAGTGGGACTTCAACTTTGCATACAATGATATGAAAACACAAACAAATGAATTAAGTTAAAGGAGTATCTGATATGTCTGGTGGAATATGACTGACAGCCTATATCTGTTACTGACCAAGAAATTGTGGAGATGATACTCTTTCCGGTGGTTAATGAAGCGTGTCGGGTCATGGATGAAGGAGTAGTGGTTCGAGCATCAGACCTTGACATTGCATCTGTTCTAGGAATGAGTTTCCCTTCTTACCGGTGAGGGCTCTGAGACAACTACTTTTGTATTTTGTTTTTATTTTATTTTATTTTTTTGTTCTTTCTTTTTGGTCATGGCTCTTTTGCCAAGCTCTCACAAAAAATACTATGCGCTCGTCATAATGTCAATGGAAACTTGTCTCTGTGGTCATCTGATGGATCGAGTCCATCATAGGTCTATGCTTCATGTATATTTTTTCTTTTTTGGAAAAGTCACATAATAGTGTTCCACATGTTGAACAAGATCTGATGAAGAGATATATGTCTACCTAAAATAATGAAGAGATTTAAAATTCTCTCTATAGAACTATCAAGGGCTTAGCGCAAGTGGTACCACCTCTTGCTTCCAAATGGAAGGTTGAGAGTTCATGTAATGAGACAATAATGGATCGTCTGTGTGATTTACCTATATGAGGGGGAAAAAATATCTCTGCAGAGGGAATAGAGTCCAAGCTCCAAGGTAATTCTTGAGTGCATTTGTACCCATGGTATCATATCAATATAATCTTGAAACATTATATATATACCCGCAAGTCTCAATGATACGGAACAGATTACTTTACTCCTTTGATATACTGTAGTCCTGGTAATAATTGGGCCTATTAGCTTTTTGGGTGTTTTGGCAATTATTCCAATTTAATGATTAACTTACCAGTATAAATCTCTAGCAAATATTAATTCTTGATATTTGATTAATCACATTTATGTTTAAAATGTTTCAACTCATTTGTAGACCTAATTCTGAATGAAATTCTGTTCCTTTTTTTCTTTTTCTTTTTATTTTCCCGGAAATTCAATGAAATTCTGTTTTAACGAGAATGCTACACCTTTAAATTTGAAGGTAAATAAATAGAGTCTTCAAATTAAGTAACAATTGAACTATTGTATAATACTTTGCTTCTTACTAATAAGTGCATTACTAAGAATGCTAATTAATCTTAGAACTGCCATATTTGTTTAAATAAGCATGCAACTAATCTTGAACAAGATTTAACTGTGTTCATTTTCCATCGTAGGCTGTTAATATTGTCGTGCACATCCAGTTGAGTTCAGTTTACATCATATGAAATGTTATTTTTTATTTATTTTTTCTCTATCTCTTGCACACAACATATTTACTTTTATTCTGGCGAACTCTTCTTGCCAACCAAGCATCTTTGGACAAAAACCAGTATGCAAAGCTAATTTTATCAAGCAAATGTTTCTTTTATTGGCAGTGGTGGTCTGGTATTTTGGGCTGATACAGTTGGGCCTAAGCATATATATACAAGTCTCAAGAAGTGGTCGGAGTTATATGGTAACTTCTTTAAACCATCCAGGTTTTTGGAAGAACGAGCAACAAAAGGCCTGCCACTAGTAAGAACCCTACCTCATTTATTCTTCAGATATGAGAAACTTATGTTTTGTTGTTTTGACTTTGGGGACCATTTTATTCAACATGAAAGTTCCCTTGAGCAGTTCAGTAATAATCTTTTCTATTTATATAATTATTGTTATTTCCTTGAGAAAAACAAAGTCCATTGGAGCTTTATGTTTGATTTCTTCACTAGTTGAGAAGTGCTGAAATTCCGTTTTCTATTTATATAATTATTTTTATTTCTTTGAGAAGAACAATGTCCATTAGAGTTGTATGTTTTTGGTTTCTTCACTAGTTGAGAAGAACAAGGTCCCTCTCTCTCTCTCTCTCTCTCTCTCTCTCTCTCTCTCTCTCTCTCTATATATATATATATATATATATATATATATATATATATATAATTCTTGATTCCTAATAGCCTTTCCATTTCCTGCAGAGTGCACCAGCTTCAACTTCTTCTGCTTCAAGGTCACGCCTTTAGGCAATAAATCTGCACCGGTCTAGTTTTCCATCATATTGAGTTTTGTGAAAAATAAATCTGTTTGTTGCTCAAAAAAATATATGAAAGTTCTAAATGCAATAAGAATCCTGTTTCAAGAAGTGTGCATGTTTTATTCCTTCTAACGTTCTTTCCAGTCCTAGTGACACATTGATGGCTAAAATGGGTCATTGTATCCTACAATGAAATTATTTTTTGAAGTCCATTACATGTGTGGAAGAGTTTCAATAAAGTTAATTTTCCATTCAGGAGAGATCAGGGATATGGTGGCAAATGCCCAAAATGGATGAGACAACTGATATATTTTATTTACTCGGTTCTTGGTACATTACACTTTCAGCTTTTGTTTTCACCATTCAACTGTGTAATATTGGATTGTATGTCATCACTTTGTGCGAGGTTTGATAAAAACCCTATTAGGAAGTGGAAAACCAAACGACGATGTACTTGTGACAGGTGAAGGAAATGAGTGACAAAATTACTGAAATTGGTAATCGAATTAATTGATTAAAGAATTGGGAATACACTTTTATATGTACATCAGAATAATGCTATTCTAGGAAGCTAATAAAAAACTGATTCTTAAAAATCAGGGATTGCAATAACTAATAAATCTCTAGCTATTAACAGCCTGTAAATCTCTAGTTATTAACAGTAGCCTGTACACAACTAATAAATCCCTAGCTATTAACAGCATTTACACAACTAATAAATCTTATTTTCCCATACTACCCCTCAAGCTGGTGAACGGATGTCATCCATTCCAAGCTTGCTGGTTATCCTCTGAAAAACGGTACCAGGCAATCCTTTGGCAAGCACGTCTGCTAGCTGTTCTCCAGTAGGAACAAAAGGAGTACAAATGAGGCCACTATCCAACTTCTCTTTAATAAAATGCCTATCAACTTCAATTTGTTTTGTGCGGTCATGTTGCACAGGATTGTGTGCAATGTTGATGGCTGATTTATTATCACAGTAAAGCTTCATTGGACCTTCCCATCTGACTTTCAAATCTTCCAGGATTATCCTTAGCCATAGCAGTTCACATATCTCGAGTGCCATCGTTCTAAATTCAGCTTCTGCGCTGGACCTTGCAACCACATTCTGTTTTTTGCTTCTCCAAGTAACGAGATTACCACCTAGGAAGGTACAATAGCCTGAGGTTGATCTTCTGTCAATCACGGATCCTGCATAATCTGCATCTGTGTAGGCTTCAAGAGTCAGTCCTTCCCCTTTCGTAACAGAATTCCTCTTCTTGGCGTACTCTTCAAGTACTGCAGAATTCTATACACAGCTTTGAGATGTGATTCTTTGGGATTGTGCATGAATTGACTCACAACACTCACAGCATAAGCTATATCCGGCCTGGTATGTGACAAATAAATTAACTTCCCCACAAGTCTCTGAAAAGAGCCTTTATCCACGGCCATGTCTTCTGGAGCATCACAAAGTTTGTGGTTTGACTCCATAGGTGTCTCAACTGGCTTACATCCCAGCTTGCCTGTATCAGCCAACAAGTCTAACACATATTTTTGTTGTGATATAAAAATCCCTTGCCGAAAGTGGGCTACTTCAATACCAAGAAAGTACTTCAGTTTTCCTAGCTCTTTGATCTCGAATTCCTTTACTAACTATTTCTTCAAACTCTCCATTCCTTCCAAGTCATCTCCTGTTACTATGATGTCATCCACATAGACCAACAACACTGTCACTCCCCCTGATGCTGAGTGTTTTACAAACAATGTATGATCACCTTGACTTTACTTATATCCCATACTTACCATCACTTTGGTAAATCTCCCAAACCAAGCTCTTGGGAATTGTTTCAGTCCATACAAAGCTTTTTTAAGCTTGCATATCATTCCTTCCTTTTCATTTGAGCCAAACCCAGGCGGAATCTCCATATAGATCTCCTCCTCAAGATCGCCATGTAAGAAGGCGTTCTTGACATCAAATTGCTGTAATCTCCAGCCAAAATTTGCAGCCATTGATAATAGAATTCTCACAGTATTCATCTTAGCAACTGGAGCAAGTCTCAAGATAATCTATGCCGTAGGTTTGTGTATACCTTTTGGCAACTAATCTTGCCTTATACCTTTCCAAAGAGCCATCTGAGTTGTATTTGGTTATGAACATCCATTTATACCCAACCGGCTTCTTCCCTCTAGGCAGTCTCACCAAGTCTCAAGTCTTGTTTTTCTCAAGTGCTTCCATTTCAACCTTCATAGCATTTTCCCAATTCTCATTTCCTAATGCATCGGATAAAGTTTTGGGAATAGGGACTGTATTTAAGCTAGTAAGAAAGGCCTTATGGTTATGAGAAAGATTCTTATATGACATGAATAGATAAAGAGGGTGTTTGGTACAAGTTCGAGTTCCTGTTCTATTTGCAATAGGGACATCATAATCATTTTGTTCAGAGGTTTCATTAGTGTTATCATTGGGTTGAGTAATTACCTCGACATTATCAGGAACAGATTTGGGTGATTGAACTTGCACAGGTTGAGAGATTGGTGCTCTTTTCCTTGAGTAAATCTGCAATGGACGAGTAGAGTCTCGAGTTTGATTCCCATGTAACACTCCTTGTGATTTGGGTGTATGAGGCTCGGCTTCTGACCGTGTGTTTGGCTCGAATTGTATGTTTGGGAGTATGTTTGACTCAGATTGATGAGAGATAAGGGCTGGAAACTTAAGGAGAAAAAAATCCTTATCCTTATCTTCTATGAAGGATGTCTCCCCCTGAAGATAAGGACCGTTAAAGTACTGATCTTGTTCGACAAAAGTAACATCAGCAGACATATAAAATCTCCTTGTCGGAGGATGATAGCATTTATAGCCCTTTTGGGTGAAGGAATAGCCAAGAAAGACACATTTGAGAGCTTGAGGATCAAGTTTTCCCCTGTTTTGAGAATGCAAATGAACAAAGGCAACACAACCAAATATCTTTGGAACAAGATTATTAGATGCGTTAAAATTGGGAAAGAACTGTGTAAGGACCTGCATTGGACTTTTAAAACCAAGGACTCTTGTAGGAAGCCGATTGATGAGATGAGCAGCGGTTAAAACAGCCTCCCCCTAGTATTGTTTTGGAACATTTTTTTTTGAACAAGAAAGCTCTTGTAATATCAAGAAGGTGGCCAACCCATTTTGTTGAGGTATGCTAACACAAGAGGATTCATGTATTATGCCCTTTTTTTGGAAATACGGAGAGAGAATTTGATTAAAGTAGTCCTTAGCATTGTCATATCGGAATCTCTTTATCACCACACCAAACTGAGTTTTGACCATATTAAAAAAAATTGGAAACACAGAACTCACATCCGATTTATTTTTTAACAGAAAAATCCAAGACACACGAGTGCAATCATTAATAAATGAGACAAACCACCTTGCCCCAGAAACATTAGTAACAGTGGAAGGTCCCCAAATGTCACTGTGAATCAAGGTAAATGGAACAGATGTTCTTTTATTGCTGATTTGAAAAGAAGTACGTTTTTGTTTTGCAAGTTCACATACGTCGCAATGAAAATTTTCAATGGATAAACTTTTGAACAATGAAGGAAACATTATTTTGAGAACACTAAATGATGGGTGACCAAGACGAAGGTGTTGAAGCCATATCTTATCTTTATTGGATTTGAATGACTCGGAAAGAAATGATAATGGTGACAATCGCTCAACTCTATTTTGTCCATTTGATTCTTCAAGGTAGTATAGACCATCCCTCTCCCTAGCATGTCCAATCATCCTCTTTGTGCCCTGTTCCTAAAATATATAACGGAGAGGATAAAACGTCACACTGCAATTAGAATCTATAGTGAGTTTCTGGATTGACACAAGATTGGTGCGTAGTTTTGGGACATGGAGGACATTCTTAAGTGTAAGGTGGTCATTTAAAAAAACATCTCCTTGACCAGCCACGGTTGTCACTGAACCATCAGCTGTTATTATTTTCCTATTGCTAGGACAAGGGGTATATGAAATAAATTTTTTTGAGGAATGGGTCATGTGGTCTGTAGCTCCTGAGTCAATGAACTAGGAGCTTGAGGAGACTATATCCGAAGCACTAAAAACATGAGAAGAGGGGAAAGGAGAGGAAATACCTGAGAACACCAAAGAACAAGTACCTGCTGTAGACGGTTTCTCCAACGTTCCCAATAGGCTCCTTAATTTCTTTATCTCTTCTTTGTTGAATTCAGCAGATGGGATTGAAAGATTGTCTTCACTCTTCTTTGTTGAATTCAGCAGATGGGATTGAAAGATTGTCTTCACTGTTGGATTGTGTGGTTGCCACATGTGCCTGTCCCTGTCCTCTTGGCTGTCCACTCTTTTCTGACCAAGCTTTGTTCACAATTTGAGGCTTGCCATGGAGCTTCCAGCACTTCTTCTTAGTATGGTGGGATTTTTTGCAGTATGTACACCTAGAGAATCCTTGTTGAATGGTTTTGACATATCAGTTTGCCCATTGCCTTCTCCAAAACGCTGTTCGGAGCCATAATTCTTCATAGCCGTGTTTTTTGACACCAAGGCCGAACTCTCTACTGTGTGAGTTTCAATCATAACACCACTTCTTCTTTCCTCAGCAAGAACAATTGCAATTGCCTCATTTAAGGTTGGCAGATCTTCTTTTCCAAGTATTTGCACTCTTACAGCATCAAATTCGATGTTTAAACCTACAAGAAAATCATAAATTCTGTCATTTTCAACAAACCTCTTAAGGATGGCTGCATCTTCATTGCACTTCATCTGAATGCAGTGATAATGATCCATCTCCTGCCATAGACCCTTCAAGAGGTTGGAATATTCGGTGACTGACCGATTACCCTGTTTGGTAGCGGAGATTTTGGTCTTGATCTCATAGATCTGTGCAGCATCACGTACTTTGGAATAGGTCTGCTTAACTGTTTCCCATATCTCCTTGGCCGTGCTCAAAAACATACAAGTGTCGTTGATTTCTAGTAACATAGAGTTCCATAACCATGACATGACCATAGAGTCTTGTTCATCCCAAGCATCAAACCTAGGATCCTCCTTTTCTGGACCATTACCAAGCAAGTGGCTCAATTTCCCTATTCCTTTCAAGAACGTGCGGACCATTTGAGACCACTTCAGATAATTTTTCCCGTTCAACCTATACGCTGTCTGGATATTCTGCAATTCTCCTGTTGGGACAGAGCGTTGCTTCCAGTTACAGGAATCTCTGAAGTGTTGCTGGTTTCAGTAGATGCTAACATGATTTAGAGAGAGAGATGGAATTCACAGGTTTGATAACACTGGATTTTCACAGAACAAGAACACTAGGAAAAAAGAACTAGCAAAGAAGGCCAAGAGAAGACGATTACCCAGAAAACGAGCCTAGAGCTCTGATACCATGACAAAATTACTGAAATTGGTAATCGAATTAATTGATTAAAGAATTGGGAATACACTCTTATATGTACATCAGAATAATGCTATTCTAGGAAGCTAATAAAAAACTGATTCCTAGAAATCAGGGATTGCAATAACTAATAAATCTCTAGCTATTAACAGCCTGTAGCCTGTAAATCTCTAGCTATTAACAGCAGCCTGTACACAACCAATAAATCCCTAGCTATTAACGCCGGTACACAACTAATAAATCTTATTTTCCCACAATGAGATTGAAAATTCCAATTCTGATGACATGATCTTGTGTTGCAGTATGGGTTATGCAAGATGATGCCCAAAATTAACATCACATGTCAATGCTCATGAATTGTACCATGCTCTATTGAGCTTAACTGTTTTCTCCTCCTCCTGGAGTTAGCCCAAGGCGGTCCTTGCCACTAGGCTACCCCTTGGGGTTGAATATCACTATCTGAATTTTATTGCTTCTTCCAATGATGACAAGTGAGAGGACGGAAATTTGAGGCTGGTACAAACCCACCTCCCCAAAGGGGAAGTTGGGAGTTCAAGCCTCAGTAGAGGCATGGGTACGTGAGTTTGCTTAACCTTAAAAAAAACAAAAATTGAGTATGAGACCGGTCTGAAAAATAATGTCTACTTTTAGATGTACTTTGTGGCCCTTCAAGTAAAAACCCCTCCTCTCACTACGAATCACCCAAGTGAAATTGAGTTGACTATAGTTTTCTTCCATACCATGCGAAAACTATGATTCGTATACTACAATTACAACTTTATGTGTCAAACCACGTGCAGGTGAAAAATTTTAAATACAAAATATTACCACGTTTCGGAGCAATTTATCTTTCCTCTCCGTTTATTTTTCCCCCCACATCAACTGTCAAATGGATCTAGCAAAATCAATTTGACAAGAATACAAAATATGATGAGAGGGAGTGCATTAAATTTAGGAAACTAATCTTTTTTAGTTGGTGAGAAGTGATTCGAGTGCTGAATTAAAATAAGAACAATAATACATTATCTGAATTTGAAAGATGCCGTATAGGGAATATACAAGTATAGTGTGAGCCTCACCACATAGTATCGCCCTGACATCATTTAATGGTGCCCCCACTCAAGTGATACTTACTTAGCATCTCCAAATTCAAAAAATGTACAGTATTATTTTTAAAAAAAACAAAAGGCCATATAACGTCATATTATAATAACGAACAAAATAAGTATTATCCAAAATTATTCTTGCAATGGAATTAACTGATAAACCATAAAAATTCATTAAACTGCTCCTTGTTACTAAACAATGTGAATTGACAAAACTGACAAAAATAATTTTTGCGTATAGTAATACAAGGTAAGATGGTCATTGGCATGGAGAATATCCTCAGAATTTACAAGGCTCTGCATTTTGCGCAACCTGTTAATAAATAGTAAATGAGACTAGAAAATCAATTTGAAAAAAATATAGCATGAAATTATGTAAGAAATGGATCAGATCCTAGTCAGCTAACAATGGCCCCCGTATAATCTTGCCACTGCATCATAGACAAGCCAACATGAAAAATGGCTTAATATTACAGAGATGCAGTCGCATACCTGTGGCCAATCCTCTTTTCTAAATCTTTACATCTATTTTTCAGTCTTTGGTTTTATATTTCCATTTTCGGCCGGGGACGGAATCTTTGTAAGCTTATCATTGTTAGACGTAGCAGCCGCTGTAATAACCATTTGTGACATTTTGGGTGTAGGTGGAACAGCAGAATTTGCAACACCGTTGCTGTAGGGTTCCTCTTGATTCCTTCTTTCTGTTCTAGTATTTACAGTGCAATTACTAACTGCGTCTGCTTGACCACCTGATTCGGTTCTGGCCAATGAAGAACACTTTGCTTCTGCATATGTAACGATGAACCTTATTAGTTTCCCAAATAATCAAACAAGTCAAGACTATATAAAAGAAAAAATTCATTGATCATGCCTCTATTTCCTCTTTACAATGTAGCAGTTAGTTTCAGCTCCACCGGCATCAGATTGTTTAGAATAAAAGACGAGCATGCCACATTATGTTATACACTGCCTATCATATAATCGAAAAAGCCGTACATTCAGTATCTGTTCCCATGAAATCTTAACACTCACTTCGCTATGGTTTCAAAATCTTTATGGTGTCAATGACAGTCTGTATTAATCCAAACATTTCAATTCCGGAACAAGTCATCCCCAAGACATACAAATGCCATGGAGCGTCCTTAACATTCTTGAGAGAAGGCATATCTTGTTCCAACAGTGAGAAATATATGACAATTGTTGGTTTCATAACAAATAAAGATACACACTAATATTCTGATATAAGTGGGCCTTTTAAACAAATAGCATCGGTTGATCTTTCCTTTTTGGTCCCAAATGGAGTTTTATCAGCTCACTGGCCAAGCTTTTTAGTTTATTTCCACCAAAAAAGCTTTCTTTGCTTGCAATACCACTTAAAATTTCCAAAATTTAATACAAGGGGAGAGAGAAACTTACCTTTTATTTCTCCTAAAGTGATGAGCCTATTAAGACAATCACGAAATTTTGTCAATACAATCCTTTCTTGCTCTGCATAGGCTTCAGTCATGCCTTGCCTATGAGGCACCTGAGAAGATGTGTTGCAGCCATGACCCATTAGCTTAGGGGAAGAAGCAGCCATGAACATCGTATCTTGTTCATCACACATCAATGCTAGCGTTCCAGGAGACATCGGCCTTCCTTTTGAGACATCAGCGCCATCTGAACTGCACTCCTCTGGGCCTATTTTCTCAGCCTGGTTCCCACTTGAACAATCATCTCCCACGGCTTTAACATTTGGTTCCTTCTGGCCCTGTAAGCTGTTTTGAGTTGATGAAGCAAGGGCAGTTTCCATTGAATCTTCGGCCTGATTCTCTGTTACATTTCTTTTATCTGGACGTATTAGAATACAGAATTCAGTAGAAGGCTCCACTTGGTTGAATGATGGTATTATTGCATGCTCACTCAAAAATTCAAAATATACCACTAAGCACACAAACACACACCAAAAAAAAAAAAAACTCCTGAAGCAGTCTATTTTGATAGCAAATTATTTTGTATTACACATTACCAAAGTTTTAGTTTGCGGTCAGAGACTCACAGTGGGCAACATGGACGTGGTCGTGGCGTAATAGATTGGGGATGTAATGAGTTATGTAACAGCATCAATTCTTATGGTAGTGAATATTTTACCGCACACACCTAGACCCAAAAATATACATATGAATCTTTATGGTAGTGAATATTTTACCGCACAAACCTAGACCCAGAAATATACATATGAATCTTTTAATTGTAGTATCCAATTTAATGAATTTTGTTGAATATTTAAAGGTGATTTAATATGAGTAGCAGACCAAAATGCACCACTACACAACTTAAAAATATGGAGAAACAAGCACGAGAGAAACAAAATCCACACACATATTTACATATATACATAAAAAACAACTAAAATTTCTCATACATGTCAAAATACAAGTAAAAATTAGTAGCTAAACGAGCACCTAGAGGATTTAGAACATGTACAGAAGTACACACGACAATCAGTGGATTGGAAGCTCTAGAGTGTCTAAGTGGGAAAAAAAAAAAAACACTTACAAATTTTTTGAAGTATTGGAAGCTTTTGATTCAATATCTAGACCCGAACCTTGTGGATCCTGAGATCTGGAGGCTAGATCTAGCCCTAGACCGAATTTGAAGGGAGTTGGCATCCACTGGAAGTAGGAAAAAGACCCTAGGTGCTTAACTACCATTATGGCTCTGTATTACCAATATTGGTTATAGACAGTTATCTGTAGTGACCAATATGATAACATAACAGTCCAAACGAATGTAAAAACATTCACACTAATATATCAAAATTGAGTTTGGCCAAGTACAACTAGACAGATATAGCATGATGCAATTGAGTCTTGAAACCTAGGTCATTACAAAGAGTTAGCGGTGACGATGTTGGCTGTAAGAACTTATACCCTCTTGTAATAATCTTTTGGAATAGTCTTACTGATATAAGAATCTAAGACTGCACACACACAAATGTTGAGATCTCATTTACAATAAATAAATAAATAAATAAAGTGTGAGTTAGGATACTTTGTACAGCCCGTGGGAGGTGGCATCCTCTAAACTTGAATTCCTCTCCTCAGAAGCTTGAACATCTTCTTCATTTTTAAGCAGATCTAAGTTAACTTGGGAAAAGAAAAAAGAAGAAGATGAGAAAAACAATATTTTGGTTTAGTTGTTTCTATATCCTTTTTTCTTTCATGTCCTTCCTTTTTCAAATTAGCCAAGTTTCATATGATTATTTTCTCATAAATGTGTGTTCTTTAGTTGTTTTCTGTAGCTCACATTTCATTTTATTTTTTAGATTCCAGTCAGACTACAAGCAAGATTGCAATATCAAAAGTTCAATTTTATATAGGCCTTATAATTTAAGGATGATGGCACAGTAATGTCTAAAAGTATGAATGTGATTTCATTTTTATTATTATTACAATATTGCTATAATTTACCTATAGCAAGATGTAGGATTTTTTTATATCTTTTGCTTTTTCCGAAAGAAAAAAATAATAATAATGGGGAAGAGACCTTAAAAGTGCTAATAAACATGAATGTGATCATTATTATTTTACTATTACACAGGACGTTGGCATGGGATAAAAGATGTGTGTGTTATTAGCGCTATATCCATCAATATATCACTATTTTCGAGACCTTGAGTCCTTGATATATCCTATTAGTCAAGTTATTAGTCATAGGACCTGATCAGAAGTTGAATTCCCTTTTCCAACGATGGAAAAAGAAATTGGAAAAATGGAACCACATTGAAGGCAGGGGCAGATCCAAGAATTTTTATTTGGAGTGACCAAACTTGTTATCCAAATTTTATTTTATTTTATTTTATTTTTATAAAAAGCTATATAATTTTCTTTACAATAGGTGTCTTAATATGTTCTCTATTTTTCTTTACAACAAATGTCTCAATATGTTCTTTATTTTTCTTTACAATTGGTGTCTTAATACGTTTTTTAATATTAAAAAAAAAAATCTATAAACCAAAAGTATTTCCCTTTATTAAACAAAAGGGAATATTTGAAAGAAGAACTGGAAGCAAATACATTAGGTTTGGCTCCAAATTTAGGTATGGTCTTTGTTTCTATCCTGACTACTCATCTCATGACCAAATTCATGACCAAATTCAAGCCAATCCAAATGTATTTGCACATATAATTAACCAGTGCTAAAACCAGTAACATCCTCAATTGACTAATAGCAAACGTTACCAAACTCCATTCAGGACGTTCATCACCAGGTCAATAAGTCACATGAAAGCCTGTGCAGTAGCAAAAATTTCAGAGGCGGATCGTCTATAGTTCCAAATAACTTCAATTCACCTCTAGCCTGTACAATAACTATCTCCTTCTAAAGAAATTATTCCTAATAAGTGCATAAAATGAGAACATGGAGATGAGTTATTTGGACCTTTTAAGAACTTCCACTCCAGATGGGGGCTTCCAAAACTAATAAGGGTCTATTGAAGACTAACACGTGCTAATTTATTTTGATGTTTTCAATATCACTATTTATAGGAAGGCTTACACTATTAGGCTTACAAAATTTTAGGAGACCATGTATTTATTTAATTTCATATATTCAAGCCAACTATTTATAGGGAAGCCATATTTTTAATGTTCTACAAAATTTTGGATGGTTCAGATATTAATTACTTTTTCCATATTTCAGGCTAACTATGTATAGAAATACCATGTCTTTAGGGTTTTATTTATTTATTTTTTTGGCGGCTCAAATTTTTTTTTTTTTTTTTTAGTTGGTACTAACACACACCTCTCCAAGGAATTGTTTGCACCTAGGAGGAATTGATCGTCTTTAAATGCTTCAAAATTCATCAACAACTTGTTAAAAATACAAATGAGGCAAGTAAATACTACTTAACTAAGCCTTGTCCAACCTACCTAAGATCGGTTACATATATTTCCTTACTATCTCAATGCAAGTTGATTTTAGTCTTTGCTTTCCCTTACGGTTTTCCCACAATGTGGACCATGTAATTCTTTCTCACTGGTACATTTCTTGGTCTTCACTCTTACTAAATAATTCAAAATGAATAAGAGGCAAATGCTACAAAGTACATAGGTAGGCATACATGCATGCACAAAGGCACCAATCACAGGGAATTTTGATAGCCTAAGGGAATAGTAAAGAATAACGACTTCAAGTTATGTCATTCAACAATTCAAAAGACTTAAGTGGTCTCTGTCTGGTTCCACACTCGTGACAAGATAAAAACTTAGTAGAAGACAACAAAACTATTGAAAGTTGAACAAAACACAGACATTAGAAGACACACTTTTTAAATAAGTTCATATAGAAACTATCTAAAATAACCATTACAATAGGCTAAAAGAGAATTTCGTCACCATAAGCTAAAACATTAGGCAAAGTACTTATGCAACAGAAAATATTTCTTTTATGTGCACAGCAAAAGAAAACTATAAATGTTTTCAAAATAATGTAGAATTTGAATCAATTTCCTGTTTTACTTCCTTTTTTCCCCTTTTTTTCCCTGCGAAAACATCACATCCAACAACCAACCAAGGAAACTTTTTGAAAAGACTCAATTATTCCTATTACCAGCAAAATAATCAAATTCAATGCAAATGCTGCTCCTTGGTGGCTTAATCACACGGGCATGCATATCCACTCAAAGATGTATGGTTAATTTAGGTACCTCAATTAATGCCAACCATTTGCTTTAAATTTCTATATATATACACACACACACACACATATACATCCACATATACCTGCAATTGTCTTGGCAACTTCTCCTGAATATAAAACCAAAACTGAGCACAGCTCCGTCAGGTCTTGTGGTTGGATGATGTCTGCTAACAGAGATCTTCAACCATGCAACACTAGTTAGTTTCGTTATAAAGTGCCAAATGAAATTTCCATGAAGATATATTAGATGATCACTTATACCTGTATGTAAATTTTGAAGGGCCTAATGCCGCCATGTTATTAGCTCGAGCAACAGGAACTGAAGAAAGGGTAGAGGGTGTAGAAGCTTTCATATAATTTGCCTGCTGTAAGCATACAAAACATATACTTCAAGTACCATCATGAGTTGTGAAACAATAGCTAAAAATGAGAATGATAAATGATCTTTTGATGCTAAGCCACACAAAGATATGCCAACTAACAAAAATAGAGGAAAATGCAAAAAGTTTTACCACTCCTAAAAGATTGCATACTAACCAGTGTTGATCCTCATTAATGAAGGTTGTTAGGAGAGGTACAGTGGATACAAACCTAAACTTTGGCATTATTTCGCACAAAGTTGCTTCCATCAGGCTCAAACTTGCATTTTCATGCTTGTCAGTCTGAGTTTTTACCACCGCACCAAGCAATGGTCCTTGTAGTCATGCATACCAAATTACCAATGCAAAGCCAAATTATTAACCAACTATCATTAGTTTACTCAAGTAAGCTCAGCTGACTTGGTGTGAAATGTTATGCACATTAATGATTATAGATTGCTGAATTTCACCAACCAACCCAAAAATATTCAATCAATAAATGGAGCAAAAGATCAAGTTCACCTGTTGAAATTGTGCAAGCCTATGAACAGATGGATCTTTAGCCGTTGGTCCAAAGAAGAGCTCCTGACCTTTTCTTTTCTTGGAAACCGGAGGGGATCCATAACCAGAGGATCCAATAGCACCAGTAATGGCAGCATTTGCTGCCTGTTGGATATACATCATGTTATTGGCATGATCACCATGAAAGAGAGCCTGCCTCTCTTCACTTCCTTCAAAATTCTTGCAGTCCATGCATTTACAGTTTTCAGAGCAGAGAATGTTGGCTTGGAAGCATTCACAGTACTTTTTAAGGCACCCTGATTTCTTGCAATGGCATCCTTTGTTGTGCTTTCCCAACACTAAAACTTCCCCAACCTCCTCCTACATATATTTCAAAGTCAATTTGCTTGTCAACAACAGCCCAATACAAATGCAATGTTTAGAATATACCAACAATAAATAATTATATTTAAAACGAGAAGTACTATCTAATTCGGTTCCATTCATCCAGGACTTTTTCCTTCAATTTCACATTTATACTCTCCAAAGACCAATCGCATATGAGATATTCAGACAAAAGTAGCAAATAATAAAATTACCACCTTTCGGAAAAGCAATATCATGCCTCCCACATAATGATTCTGAAGAACTACAAAAATGCATAAGATTTGACACAATACTTTCTGACCAAAATTATTGGATATTTATTCTTTCTATAATAGCTTAATTGCTTTTATGAATTGTTATTGGTAGTATTTTACTTTCTTTATTATTTGCACAATCAAGTTGTTTTATGTAGCCTAATTTCTACGATATGTAACATTTTTTAAAATGTTAGTATTGCAAAATGAAAAATCTTCCTGATGGATTAAAACCTTGCTTTATTTGTAACTGGACTACTGTTCTCCATACATATGTTAATAAAGATACATACCCTAATTGTCCGAGCTGCATGAGGACTGTTACCAATTTTTGGTCGGAATGCATTTGGATTACGTTCTAAAGTAGCTTCAACAGCTTCTCGTCTGGCCGCCTCATTTTCAACATTATTATGACAATTTACACAGTTGCATCCATCACAGTATATTCCAGATGCAAAGCACTCACAATACCTGGGGAACACGTCAACACAATTAACTTTATATCATTATTATTATGCAGTACATAATCAAGAAGCATTTCCAGGAAGATAGTGAAAGAATACATTAGAACTCTTATTCTTAAATATAAGTGTAGTTGGAAATATTTGTAAAGATATAACATAAGTTCTCAATCACCTATCATAAATCCTAAAGAGTTATATTATAATTTCCAATGCGACCACTATATAATTGTTCAGTGGGACAAGTGCACAACATCTACATTACATGGCATGTATATTATATAATGTTCTAGAATTGTATGAAATGTCCTCAATTCTAAGATATTTAGTAGAAGGGTTCCAAAAACTTCCCCTAAATATTCTAGAGGCCTTATCATATGCACTAGTTTGTTTTGATCTCAACAATTGATTATGAAAACTATTTCAGCATTCTAATAAAGGAAAACATTGTATTAACTCTTTAATTTTATATTACCAAAAGTGTATCTAGAGATGTATGCTTACAATTTTAAGCATCTTGAGTGTTTACAATTGCATTGTTTTTGCTGTTTTTGCTTCTTCGGAGTACCATCTTTTGCTTCGGCATTTTGCTTTGTTCTTGTTCTTGGAGATTCTGGTTTTCTGAACGGAAAAAAAATAAAATAAGAAAGTCAATCAAAGTACTCGATTGCACCAATATTATGATACAATTATAAAATAGAAAAATCATCAATTCTTATTATTCATTTTTATTATCCAAGAAACAGAAACAGTAGACAAACTCTATAAAATGGGTTATTTCATTGTATTGCATATGATCCACAAGTTGGTATTAACACCGGCAGGGGAGTGAATGTGCGAGGTGAACACACGCATAATAGAACCTATTAAGTTATTTAACAAACAGAATTTGAAAATTGTATATAAGTAATGTATTGACATATTTTTGTCAAAGCTAGTTGTACAATGCAACATATTCAAATTATACCCTGATAGAAATTCAAGTTATGGTTGATATTAAAGAATAATAGATAAACAACCAAATATTAAAGAGACAATCAAAACATCTAAACCCTTTGGAATCCAACATTTTGATAACTTACCTTCCAAGATCTTTCAAACAAATTTGAAATTGTTTCAACAAACAGAAAAGGTATAGAAACTTTACACGGGGCGTATCGGAGGATGAGGTGTCTGAGATTGCGTCGGCATCAACTGTAGCTGCTGCAGTGGCGGCTGCATCTGTGCGCTCGTCTGCGGCTGTGTTGGTGGCGGCAGCGGATGAGTCGCGGGATGCTGAGGGTGCTCCGGCAGCACAACAGTTGCCGACGAAGCACCACCGAAGCCGGTGAAATCCAACTGCCTCGCGAGCCTCTTACCTGGAAAATCCGAGGTCGCCATCGACAGTGGGGTGCCCGATTGAGCCTTTTCTGGAGGTAAATCCCCTCCTTCGCTTTGCTCCATCAACTTCAAGTTCAAAATCCAAAAAACGCCCAAACAAATTCAAAAAAAAAATTCAAGATTCCAATAAATGAACTCAAATTCACTGATTTCTCTCCGAGAATCACAAAAATTTCACAAATCCCGGCAAATTCAAAATCATTATCGTCTGAACATAGAATCAAAAATCGGAAACACTGTCGTTAAAATAGCTCAGATTTATGCCAAAATCCGCAAAAATGTTAGTCGAAAATTGTAGCAGATTGACCTGAATCAACGAAGTTCGATCCCTACGTATATACATACATATAACTATAAACACAGAGAGAGTGATGAGAGAGACTCAGCTAAGATGCACAGAGAAAACGAGGAAAGGGGAACCAGAGAAAGAGCATGTAGACTTGTGTCGCTACTCCCCCTCCAGCTTTTGAAATTCGATTTTGTGAAAATTGGACGGTAAGATTAGCGTGATAATGGCATCCTACGGTGTTTATTGAAATATTTAATCTAAAGGACGAAATTCATAGAAGGGTGGAAGCTCATTGTTACACCGTTGGATTAAAAAAATGGTGTATTTTAGTGGAACTTGTGTGAATCGAAGCGAGTGGCAGCGTACGAAGAGTAGTTATCTGCTATTATTGATATTAAGATTGAGCCTTGCAACTTTCCATAGGAATCTGGCCAGCGTGGCAATTGTATTTCCGAAATGTGTGTGTCAAGATATGAGTGGACAAATTAATAAACTTTGATGAACTAAAGAGTACCTTATCAGTTTTTTTTTGTGTCTTAGGATTCTGCTTCATTATAAAAGAAATAGCAATTAATAAAGTGATATTGGCGCTAAAGAGTTTACGAAGGTGTTGACTTGTGACGTAATGGGTAAATTCTATTCTTCGATGTGCGGTAGAGATTTATTTATTGTTAATATGAGACAATGAATCGATGGACAAGATTTGAAATTTACGGATAACTACGAGAACTCAAACTTCTTGTGCTGTGTAACTGTGTTTAGCGATTTAAATATTTTGAACTCCTACTTAAAATTTCACATAATGTAATTTGCGTTTGTTAATGCAGATTATGGAAATTAATTAATATTTCATACCAATATGTCACAAAATTAAAATTAAATAAAGGAAACACGATATCTAAGAACATTTTTCAACTATATGAAATTAAATAGATCAATCTCTGTTAAATTGAGAGGATATTGATTTTTTATTTCTTTTTATTGCCAAGAAACTCAAACACTCCTACTCCTTTGTTGTCGGAAGTTAGAAATTGTTAGTGCAAGTTGGGATATTGTTAATGCAGTGCCAAAAAAGTTGGGTAAAATATCCAAGCTCCGAACAAACTACATGGCCAAAATGCGCCGGCGGCATACAGACCTTGACCAATGACCATGTCTAGTACTTGGAATTTATAAAAGTCATCCACTGCCCTTCTCATGGTCTTGTGGTGGAATGTGCAACACCCAATGAAATTGGAATTAGTAGGCTGCATCAAGTTTTCCAATTTCATTCATGACAATAAAAAGAGAAACGAAGTAGAAAATCAGAGCCACTATTGCGACCCCAGAACCAGAAGAACTGAATTCAAAAACTCAAATGTGAGACACGTGGTTAATTTGAAATTGACAATGTCAGCAGATGATTGAAGGATGTTGTTGTGTTGACTTGTGAAGCTTGGAACTGAAGCCTTGGCAGTGGTTACGTGGTACTACAATATTGCCATGCCACAATTTCAACCCAAAACAGCAAATCCAGAATTCAAAAAACCGAGTTTTGATCTTGTTTAAAGTTTCACAACATCAAACCATAACCACTATTCAAAATCCTCAAAAAGTGATTACGTCTACTCTCTAAAAGAACATACATCTATTTAAAACAACCTATATGCCACACAAAAACCTGCTAATATGCATCACCAATCCGCCCTCTGCCCATTCCACGCCGATCATCTCGCCCCCGTCCTGTGAACATATCTCGACGATATTCCTTTGGTGGTGGTCCACCCCTAATAGGAGACCGGCTCCTCTCTCTCACATCACGTCCCCATCGGCCACGATGAGGGGCAAGTGTTGTTGGAGGTGGTGGAGATGGTAGCCGCCTCTCATAACCTTTCCTCTCATTGAAGAAGTCATCCCTTCCACGGTCTCTGTGGCCCCAATCCATTGGCATAGGTCTATCAAACTTGCTCCTATCCCTGTAGTCATCTTCAGGATAATCCGGTCGATCTCTGCGCATGGGGTTATCAGGAAACCTGTTGTCATGCCTTGGATGAAGAGGACCACCAGCCCCAAACTCACGAGTATCTCTGACCCAACCACGAGGGGGAGACCTAAAGCCGTTCAGAGTCCTGCCTGGAGGAGAACGATCCCCTGGAGGACCAGGGAAACGTCTAGGGGGCGCATGTGAAGGCGGTGGGCCAGCGTATCCCCTCCGGGGGCTCCTTCCAGGGGCATGACGAAACCTGTTGCAGTTGTTACAATACTCCCGCCTTGCAAAGTTCAAATTGTTGCACCTGACACATGTAAAGACTTGATGAGAGACGCGACTGAGTGTCTCATAAATGCATAAAGTAGGTAGCTTTATTAGAAAATATTATTACTACACAAAAATATTTCTCTTTAAAAGACGACAAATTACTAACAGGAGACACACACCCTCCCAGTGAAAAGGTCAAATATCAAGACCCTAAAGCTAGAAATTGCATAATATATACAGTCAATCATTATGACATCAGTTCTGCCCACTTCTATTAAATGAACAATCACTTGTAGAAATAGTAACGAAAGCTAAATAGCAATTGGAATTGAATTCAAGCCATTAATAAATAATTAACAGGGTCCAAATATATCATTAAATTGGAACTGCCAAAAAAATCTTCTTAAACCACCCTAAAAATCGCTAAAAACTTTTAAGTAGGAATAACCAACACAATATTGACCAATTTAATATTAAAAATCAGGTGTCAACTGGTATGCAAGTGAATTAGCAAGAGCAAATACATAAACATCAGTAAAAGTGGCAATTTTACAGCATTCAGACTGCCTGCATATGCATGTTCACATAAAATCTAGTTATATTTGCTTTGATCATTGAAATATTCAAGTGACTCGTAACTCCTAGCATGGATAGCAACAGAAAACACAATAATAAGGGCATCGTTGCTCAGTAGAGGATATCAAATGCTCCAAACATTGACAGTTCTATCAGGTTATTAATGCTCCACACATTCACAGTTCTATCAATTTATTAACAAGATGTCCAGTTCTAATTTTCTTGCAGCTAGGAGGAGTAAAGGTTTACTCCAATTTGCCAATTCCAAGGAGGACAGAAGTAGCATACTTGGGGGAACCCAGGCACTAAGAACAAGTTCATCAACGAACATAATAATTTGCCTAATGGATATAAATAAATTGAAGGAAAGAAATTAACATAAACTGCAAAACAAATGGACATACGAGGGGTCTGGGCATATCCAATCTCCTTCTCTTGGACGCACATTAGGATTATTTCTAGGCAAGCCTTCACCTCTAAACGGTCCAGGTCCAAGTCCAGGCCCATCAAAACCACCACCAACAAACCGGCCACCACCTCTCCCACGACCATAAGGGGGTGTATGGTCTCGATATCTACCAGGATCTCTCCCACTTCCAAATCCACGACTGCGTGGTGGTCCACCTGAATGACCAAAATCAGGACTGTAGCGATTATCTGCATTCCTTCGGCGCACTGGAGAACCAGAACCTGCACGAATTCTATATCCTGAAAAAAGCCAAGAAGTCCAAAGATAAGCAACTCCAAACCACAAAATGAAAAACTATTTTAAGTATAATGTCCATAATATATCTGAAGGTTTGTGACCCATATAATGCGAACGACGGATTCAACGAAGCTTTGCAAGGACGATTACCATTAGTCAGGGTGTCTCCATGTCAAGAGGAACAAAAACAATACACTAGCATGGAAGAGATTAACAAGTTCACCCAATGACAGCCCTTGCTGTTACTTCTCAAGCAACTAGCTCAGATTACTAGTATATATAACTGAAGCAATGAGCAAGTTTAAACCATGGTTATCAATACCACATGATAAGTGCTCATAATCCTCGAGAAGAAAACAAGCCCAATTTTCCTAAATTTGATAGCCGCACGTACCTATCTTGTAAACCATTACATAAATAAGAATGTATTTCTAACCTAAAGACCTGAAATTACCAACCACAAACCATTAAGACTTTGTGAAACACCTTGGTGGTAATTAGGGAAACATTACACATCTGCCACCTGCAGATAACCACAAGGTGCATGGATGCCTAATAAATAAGAAAACCAACTCCAACAAAATCCAGAAAAAATTCCTTCTGAAATCTTCAATCGGAACTTGCCTGCAAATAGGAGCAGCAAGACCAATGGACCAAATCCTATGAGGAACAAACAACCAAAAGACCCACGGGAGTGCTAATAACAAAATGATTCAAAAACCCACCCACTATCAATTCACCCTCTTTCTTTCAGAAACCATCTTAGTGTTTTGTGAGAAGATATGTGATTGGACACCCCAAAAGTTGCCTTGAAATAGCATAACTACATTACTCTTCCCACCCAAACCATATTGTGCACGAAATCTCTGGCGAAACGGTTGGCAAAATTCAAATAGCAATCCGATCCCAGGAAGTTATCCTCAACATTTTTGCTAGTGAAGATGCCACTTAACTGGGAGACAGTATATAAACTAGGGCATGTAAACTCCAAAAAAAATGGTAATCTGAAAGTATAAATCTGTAACAGTGTCTAGTAGCATCTCACCACCAGCTGGACAAAACACAACAAAAATCCATGAAAATCCAGCAGATGCTAGACAGCAATATGCGACAAAAGTTCCCGAACTTCTGTATGCACATGCACCAATGGGAAAATAGAATTTCAAGCCAAACCTTTTTAGCCGCCGATCCAATTGAACATTTGAACCCTATTTAACCATCCAAAGAAAATAAAATTTCAGAATACCCCCAACGGATCACTGGCTCACTGACATATATCAGTTCCCTGGAAATCCAACACCAGGCATTCCACAAATTAATGACCCCGACATAACCCAAAATACAGCCTGCACAGTCTTCCATGACACCAATACCACCTTCCCATTGGCTACGTCAAGAATTTCCCAATTTAACACAATATACTCACTGTAAATCAGCTTTACCACTAGTTAGAACAATTAATACTACCACCATAAACACGCAATTCTCGAGCAATTAACAATTTGATGATTGTACAAAATCCAACTCTTCTCAAACCGCATCGCATTACCATACCATATTTCTTAAAACAAATTCTTGGAAATATATCACCGATGGCTGGCAGACAAATGAGAAGCTCAGAGGCAATTTAAAGCCAAAACCAGTCACCCTTCCCACCAAATTCCAACAAAAGACACCCACACCATTGCTCCAAAATGAAGGCATGTACTTATATAAGCCACAAAAAACCCCTGTTTCACAGAACAATCACAAATACCAAGTACCACTACTGGCTTTTCAGCACAACATTTTGCCATTCAAAACCAAAAACCAAAACCATATTCCAATACCAGCACTCACACCAACAAGCCTTCTTCAAGACCCAAGTTCTTGCCCGAGGCAACATTCATAGCTGTAAAACACAATAGCAAAATTTATTTGGAGTTCAATAGTCCAAATCTATATTAGAACCGCATGCTCCACAACACACACAGCATAAGACATTGAGAAAAGGTTCTGAAAACCTATGTTCCAGAATAACTAGAACTTGTACAGCACAAAAAAAACAAAAAAAAAAATACACATTCAATAAGTGCCCTACATACGATTTTTTATTTTTTATAAGTACAAAAGAAGAGAAAATTAATGAAGATCTATTTGTTTTAGTTAAAACATAAAAGCCACATAGAATACAACTGGCGTGCTGCACCAATATGTGAAAATACATCACATTATGAAGCAGATGTAAGCAGAAACAAGTATAAAGAGCCACTTTGCTTCAACATTGCATCACAACATAAACAAGGCCAAAATACATGACAAATTAGCCAACGTCCAAATTTACAAAAAAAAAAAAATCAGTTATCAAAGGTAGTAAGGGCCTAATAAGGCCCATGTAAAATACTAAAATTTAAAATGCTTCAGGGTGTTTTAAAATGAACCAGTTGAGACACAATGAGGCCATTAAAAAAGAGATACAATGAAGCCAGTAAAGAAAGTGGATAGAGCACCGCTAATAATATACAGTCAATCCTACGATTTAAGAAATGCATTAGTTCAAAAATTTAAGTTATTATATTTCTTTTTCTTTTTTTCTTTTTTCTTTTTTTTTTAATGTGATGATAGGAACAATTTAACATAATGGCATAATTAAAACAATGAATCAATGCATGAGATTATGAATGTTGTTGGATGAAAATTTTTACAGTGTTCAAAAATTTTGAAACAAAGGATAATTTGCCAGAAAAAACTTTTTGTATGGAATATCCAAACCCAAGAAATTTCTTGTTTAACTGAAATTTTGAAATGAAGGGATAATTTCCAAAAATCCTTTTTTGGATGGAAAATCCTAAACCAAGGCATTTCTTGTTTAACTCAATAAAAAATAAAAAATAATAATAAAAAAGAGTGGTATTTTTATTGTCATTCCTATATAATGGATGTTCCAAAATATTCTCATCAAGCTCCTTTTTTTAAAAATAAATAAAAAGGCATAATTATATCATACAAGCTTAGTCTAACAAAACAAATAATGAACAACTCAAGTAGTAGATCCCAGTCACATAAAACGTCAACAGGGTGTGACTGATTTTAGGGAATAATAACAAAAGAAAAAAAAAAAAAAAAAATGACAGGAAAATCCCTTACAGAATGTTTGTCTGTGAGTATTGCATATTATTAATATGCACAATAAGTATACATGCATACGCAAGTAAAAGAACATTATGCATTTATGAAAAAATATACGAACACTAAGGGCACTCAAACTCTAAAAGAACTTTTAAACTGGCACTCTTCAGCACTAAGCTCGGCTAACTCAAGTTTAGTTCATGTCAGTTCTTGATACAATACATGACAATACCAACGAATCAAAAATAATAACAAAGACAAAAAGAAAAATAACTTTCTTACAAACACAGAACTAAAAAGCTAAAAACACACCAAACAGGACTGTAACAGGCCCCCAAACTTGCCATGCACTCTATAGGAGTTACCATCCAAGACTTGCAAAGTGATTATCTCAAAAAAATTGGTTAAATATCAACAACCCCCATGACCTACCATTCCATTAAATGTGTTGTGAATTGACACAGTTAAGACCAAATTCCATTTCACGTAAACCAGTCTCCCAATCTCATGATATAGATCAAAGGATATTACCCAGTATCGTTCTCATTAATTGAGGATCTTGGGAAGTACGGTCTGAACCAGACCTAATTTTCAGAATCATTTACACAAACTGGCTGCCAAAAGACTTGATTCTAAGTCTCATACAATACTATGTTTGGTTGGAAAGAAAGATTTGAGGAAGGATGGAAGAGAGAAAGGATGGAAGAAGCTTCCCTCATTTGGTTGGATGGAAAGGAAGAGAGGGAGGAAGCATCCCTCCTAACCCGTGTTTTTTTATCCATCCAAAATTGGGCGGAAGAGTGGAGGGAAAGAAAGAAAAACAAAACTGTAGTATATGTGACATAAATTTTAACCTTCAATTATTTACTAAATTACTTTGCTAAACCCTACTAAAATTCTCTTACACATACTGACATACACAACAATTGCATTCATCCTCATGAGTATATATTGGTAAAAAATATATAAAAACTCTCATTCCGTTCCTTCCAACCAAAAAAAAAAATTACTGTCACCCCATCTATCATTTCAACTATCCCTTCCATTCAACCAAACAAAAAGTGAGGGAGACACCTTCCCTTCCCAAGGGATGAGGGATGCATCATCCGTCCCTCCCCCTCTCATTTCCATCCCTCCAACTAAATGGAGCAAAAATATAGTCATACAAAAAAATTCAACTTTGATATGGCAAGGCAAAATATATTATAATGATTAACCAAGAACCAAGAGTGAAAAAAAAATGTGGGTGCAATCTACATATGGAACAACGACTGAAGAAAAAGTGGCAATTAAATAGAAATATTAGGGAAAATGCACATAAATAAACGTATGAACCAAATATTGCACCAGAATCCAACTACTATACCACAGCTAAATCCCACAAAAGATCTTCTCTCCTCCTATGCACCCATGCGGGTTAAGTGGTAACTTTATCAAAAATCGTCATCATAGAGACCTAAAACTCTATTTTCCTCTTATTGCTTCAATTTAAGAATTAGTACAAGTTCATCAATAGAACATTGCAAGTGACGATATTATTTCCACAAATAAGTTAAGATGCTAAAAAATAGCCACATACACATCATAAAAACGTATCTATATATGTGTATATATTTTAGATAATAATTGTATCTGTATATATATATATATATATATATATATATATATATATATATATATATATATGTATACATGAAATAGTGAATCAACGAAACATCATTATTGGGCCGATCAGAAACCCTTAATTACCAATCTAGAGCATATGCGAGTCTTGAAATACAGAACAACAGATGGGATTCGGAAATGATTCGAATTCAGAACAAAGCAATGGAAATGGCAAATAATAATAAAAATATAAAGCCAAAAGACGAACCTGGATCGTCGTAGAATCGATCGGAGCGAGAATACGGAGGTGGGTCGCGACGAACCTCGCCGGGTTCGTAGTCGCTGCCACCGCCAGCTCCACCTCCGCCACTGTTGGTGGGCCGTACGACGAGGCTGCTCAGGAGAGGCGGGTGAGGCGTTGTCTGATCCTTCTCTCGCGACCCCATTTTTCTCTCTCTCGGGTGTTTCTTCGCCGGATTCGCTGTGCATATGAACGATATAAACCCTAATATTGTCTACATGGATATATTTGGATTGTGTTAGAGCGGAAATATCAATTTGACCCCGCTTACTTTGCGCGCTCCCAATCCCTATATATATATATATATATATACCGGGCAAAGTATTCACTAAACCATCTAGTTTATTATTTTACCAAAGAACTTGTACTCTCCCTCAACTATCTACGGGTAAAAAAGTTTGATATTTAAACTAGAATATTCTTTTATTTAAATTTTAAATTTTAAATTTTAAATTTTTCAAATTTTAAAAATTTATTGTACATTCAAATATTATAAATAATATAAGCACGAAAAGTTTATAAAACAAGAATTACAAATATATAATATTTGTTTAACAAAACTTCATAACCAGAAAAAAATAGATAATTTAAAAAATTTTTGCAACAATCTTATTATTATTATTTTATAAAATACTCGCGTTATTTGCAAAAAAAAAAAAAAATTCAAAATTATTCATTTTCACAATGAGTATAACATAAAAATAAATAAATAAAAAATCAGTCCCAATAGAGATGGAATATTCATTTTTATTTATTTTTAAATGGTGAGTCATTAATATACTCCATGTTTTAATCTGATTTAGTATGCATACATTATCAATTTAATGTCCATTAAATCTTGGAATCTACCTAGACATGTATAGAACGCGAATCTAAAGGAATGAAATAGAAGTAAAATTTGCTTTTTAAGGTTTCGGTTTGAAACTTTTAATCGTCTTTTTCTAAGTTTTCTGGCGACCTTGGTTGCCATCGAACCTTCTCTGTTGCTCCTGATTTTACTCATGAACAAACTTCCAACTTCCCTCCTTGGCTCGATCCTTAATTCTTGGTCAAACCCTAATTTCCTCTCTCTCTCTCTATTTCCTTTATTTCTCTCTGCCATTGCTATGACGTAAATAGGGTTCTTGAAACCCTTTCACAGTCTTATGCAATATATTTATAAGCTAATATTAACTCTAATCCTATATTAACCCTTAAGAGAAGGAAACTAAAAGAAAAAGAAAAATAAAACATAATACATCTATTTGAATTCTGTACGTAAATATATATATATATATATACACACACATAAACTAACTATATTTATTAATATAATTATTTAATACACTAATAAGTATAATATCCATTAATATACATATATAGCCATATATATATGTACCAATATCCATAGGTAAAATATCCGTACTTGTTACCCATCCTACACAAGTAGTCTATATGACCCAAGTGAGTGGTCCATTACTACTATTCAAATTCCTCATTTTAAAAATATAAAATAAAATAAAATAAAATAAAACATAAATCAATTAAATTATTTAATCCTAACAAATAATTACAATTAAACTACACATCATTTAACGCTCAATTAATTAAATAAATCACATTTTATCTGAATAAATAATTACAATTAAACCACATATTATTTAAGCATGCAAAACACCTATTTAATTAAATAATTCATATAAATAATTAAAACAAATAAACATATAATCATTTAGTCACACAAGCACATAAAATATAATAAAATAAATAATTAAATTCTTTTTATATCTTTTAAAAACTAGGGTATTGCGTATCTCGTTTTAGTACTAGAAGCGACCAGTCATCACCCGATTTGTTCACTAAACCATCACCGGTGGTGACCTGGTTGTGTTTGTGAGAAGAAATACGGAGGATGATGAGTAGGAAGAGATGAGGAGGAAACCGCGTTCCTTAATTGACAGTCACATAGCACTAGCATGAAGCAAAGATGAGGACGACGACCACCTCGATCGCCCGTCCATGGCCGCTACCGCGGCTGCCACTGTCTCTTTGCCCCACAGAGATTTTTCTTCCTCAAAACAAAATATGTTTTGATTGCAAAGGTCAGTGTTTGGAGGGGAATTGATAAAAAAAAATAATAATAATAGAAATATTTGGGCAATTGCGATGGGTTGGTTTTATGATCAACGACAACAGATTTTTGGGGCTTTTGCGATTGAATTTGTAGCTTTTGTGAATGGGTCTTGCAGCTAGAATTTGGGGTCTTATGATTGGGTTGCCGACAATCGTGATCTGTTGCCCACAAAATGATGTTTTTGGTTGATTAAGCAACAAAACAGAGATATTTTCTTATTTGGGGTCATGCGTCGATAGGAAAGTTGGGTTGCAAGGTTTAGAAGGGGGGAGGGGGTTGTTGATTTTGCAGGAAAAGTTAGGTTCCTGGGGTTAGAAAATATAGAGAAGGGTTGTTGTTTGTCTTTAATTTTTTTTCTCATCTTCTTCAATTTCTTGTTGGAGTTGGATGTGGATTAGAGAGAGATGGAGGTGGATTATAGAGAGAGGGATAGGCGGTGGTGGCGTCCATGGATGGTGGAAGTGGTTGTTTGGGGAAGAACACATATAAAGGTTTGTGAGGTGAAGATACAGAGAGAGAGTCGACGAAGTATCAGAAATTTTGGTTTATACAATAAGGGCAGCTTTGTCATTTTAAAGTTACAGTCCTGGCATGTGATTATCACGCCCCTATTTAGCCGGAGGAGCCAAACAGAACCATACCGGTGGGTAAGTTTTGCACAAGTTTGGATAGTTCAGGGGATTAAGTGTAAAAAAAAATTAAAAAAAAGTTCAGGGGATTTTTGAGAGAGAGAGAGTATAGTTCAGGTTTTTTTTTTTTTTACACTTTACCCTAATTTAAATTGTATAACTTTCGTATTTTCTCCTCTAACTTTCCTATTTTCAAAGAAGAACTATAATTTGCAATTGCCATATCGATTGCGGCAACATGGACCCAACGTAGGACCAGTGGGGTTCCCATTGAATTTTTTATATTTTTATTTTATAACTCAATTTTTTTTGGAATTTATGAAGATGCCTTACTAAAATTATAATTTGCACCAACTGGATTCTTCTCCTTCTTTTTATTTTATTTATTTATTATTTTTTTTATGCATTTTATACTTCAAATTTTTGAAATTTTTTGAAGATGTCCTTGCTAAAATTACAATTCGCCCCACTAATATTTTTTCTGCATTTTATACTTTAAATTTTTAAAAATTTATGAAGAAAACCTCATTAAAATTACAAAAATGGACCCATTATATAAGTTTGTCCCCACAAATTAAAAGACCGTCCCCCTCACAAAATTTTCTAGGTCCATCATTGATCGCGATGTAACGTACTCGAATAAATATCGGTCTAAACCACCGAACCGGTTAGTTTATGAAGATATGTAATAGTATCAAAACCATGAAAAAGAATTACGAACTGGTCAATACGCCACGCATAAGCCAATGTAGCGCATCATGAGAGGAAGTGAATCGAGTCCGAACGTAAACAAAAGGATATGTGTTCGCTCTACCATTCAAAGAAAAAAAAAAACATTTAAATTGCTAAACTTGCAACATTAAAAAGCCAGCTACTAGTACTACTTAAATTTAACCACTAAATGCAATCACATTATCTTGGAAGCGTGAGAAAATTATCTAATATGGAAATGAAAAACTTATTTATCAATGAAGCTTTTTATTCGTTTTCTTCCAGATTAAACATCAAATCTTACTGTTCTTTTTCATATGCGCACCAAATAAGAATGTACCCTATACCATATTGATGATTGCAAAAACTGTCTTGATTGTTTGTTGCAAGGCTTTTGACACCCTTATTTTATATTCACAAGTCACAACCATAACATAGTAGCTCAAGCTTCACAAATATAATACCATCCAAGTTATTCTAATGATAGTATAAATTGTCAGCCAAAAATAAAAAATAAAATAATTACAACCAAAAGTAAACCAATAATTGAAATATTAATTTGCAATTTTCTCAAGCAAGTTAAAAAAAATATTGATCAAATTGTCATATCCGCTCTCCTGTTGTGTCCGCCTCTGCCTCTGCCTCTACTCGTTTTGATAGTACAAAATTTGATCCCAAATTCTTCAATTTTTTTGTAATTGATCTTTTAGAATCAGACGATTCTACTAATTGTCGGGGTGTCCTCCATTTGGGTTCTTGCATGCTGCTCTTTTTGTAAGGTTTATACTTTGCCTGTTCAACCAGGTGAGGTACATGAATCTTTCTAGGGCTCTCAGATTCAATATCCTCTTCTTTTCCTACTTCAACCTGCAGAGATCTAGCCATAAATTGTTTCCGGACAACCCAACTGATATCAGAAATTTCATTAACTAAGGATTACTACTCTCAACCACTGAGACTATCCCTCATCTCCTAATAAGCCCCAACTGATTGTCATAGTTAGACGAAGGGTAATTGATAAATAAACCACAGATTTTGTTAACGAAGTCGACTTAACAAAATCTGTAGAAAGGAAGCAATTATGTGAAAGTTTGTTCACTCACAAGGCTATCAATGTTACCACTCACATTAGAAGGTAGAAAATAAATTAATGTTGGGGATGGCAGAAAATGTAACCCTCCATTCTTCTTTCTTTTTCCAAACCTCCAAACACGCACACAAATGGAGAGAAGTATGCTGTACTATACAAGAACCAAAGTCAAAGTCATTCTTTGACTTTGAAGGGAGAGAGAACAAAACTTCATTCTTTTTCCAACCCTCCAAGCACGCACACAAATGGGAGGAGAAGAGAAGTATGCTATACTATACAAGAACCAAAGTCAAAGTCAAGAACCAAAGCTTTGATACCACGGTGATAACTAATTGTTCCAAGAAGCATCAAAACTGCTTTCAAGTGAAATGGCAATAGTGCCTAATCATTGCCTAAGATGGCAGTTCAGAAGAAGAAAAGTGAAACTAGTTTCACCACGGGAACTATATTATTTAAGACATATAATGATGTAATGAGTCGATAGGAATAGACGGCCATTCGAGAACACTATTTAAGAGAGTCAAGGAAGCATTTGGATGTAAACTGAGAACAATCAATCTCAGCTGTGTTTGCCAATATATCGTGAAATTCCTTATTAACAGTCTGCAGAACCCAAAGCTGGCAATATTGAGTTCCTGACTCAAATGCTCTTCCATAATATGAGGGGAGCCCCAACAAATTCTACCCAATAGGATCTTTAATAGAAAATTGGACAAACAATTACTTAACAATCTGATTTCACAGCAAAGGAAATAAAAATAGAGCGCTACCAAAGAAAATAATAAAGTTCCATTAGAATTTAAGCAGTCACTGCCACCAAACACAACATTTGGAGACCAATATTTAATTGCAGATATGGCTTAAAGGATCCAAAACATGCCCTCAGACCATTGTTGTATCCCAGCTGGCAAAATCATCAAAGTATATCTTCCTCTTTGTTTCAATAGTATTGTCTAATTTTTTTCCTTATAACTATGAAAAGATATCTCCAACTTGTCACATATAACTGTTGATTTTACATAATTGAATGTTATTTCACATACAATGTATCACATTAATAAAAACTAACACGGCTAAGCCCTATAGATTTCAAGAGGCACTGACCATTATTAGCTAAAGACAAAATTGCCCAAGGTAGTTTAAACAATGTAGAACATATAACTTAATAAATTTGTAGTAGTAGTACCTCCGTGCTCTTCAAGCTCAAGGAAACTGAATTGAAAACCCAGTATCCGTGGTTGTAACATTCATAGGGCCACAGTCCACAAAATCAGAATCTGAACCCATATCCTTGTAATGACACCACTCACCAGGAGAACCCTCATCTTGACCGCTGCGTGCCGAAGGTACCCTCAGTCCGGATAAGGGAACTGGTAGAGGTTCTTCATTTAAATATTTGTCATGGAGCAGCTCCATTGCAGTAGCTCTACTTGCTGGGTCAAAACAAAGAAGTTTTTTGACAAGATGGATTTCATCAGGGGAGCGGTTCGGCAGGCATGCTTCTAATCCAGTTGGATTTTCTATATTACCAAATGAAATTGTTTTATAATCGGGAAGTTTTGAACAAGCAGGCCAGACTTCTTCAGTTAAATTGCCCAGAACACTCAAAATTCTGCTTAGCTGATCAAAATCGGAGATTCCTGGAAAAAGGGGCTCTAAACTGAAAAGCTCTCCAAAAATGCAGCCCAATGACCACAAGTCAATCTCTGGCCCGTAGTTCGTGGATCCAAAAAGCAGTTCTGGGGCCCTGAACCAACGAGTTCCGACACAGGACGTGAGGGGACCACAACTGTTGTTTCCACCGTCCCCAACCTCGTAAGAATAAGAACCCTTCAAAGGATCATCCTCTATGTCACTTGTTGTGTATGTAGCAACACAAGATGTATCTCCATCTTGAATACTACTTTCTTTATCAATTTCATCTAAGAAGTCTTTAGCCCTGAAATCGTCTAATTCTCTACCATATTCTTCTTTACCCGTAGTTCCTTGCTCTTGATTTTTATGAGCTTCTTGGAAAGCATTATCAGTTCTTGGTATAACGTCAGGTGGTGGTTCAAATATACTCGTCTGATTTGGACTGTTCTGCTCATGTGGTAGTGGATTGTCATCAACAGCAACAAATCCAGGCTCCAGAAGTATCCTAGCCTGTAAAAAAAAAACACAATCAGACCAGGCCCAGTTTGGTTGGAGAGAAATGGAAGGAAATGGTATTATTGTATTTGGTATAAATCATTAAAAAGGAAAATAAAGGAAATGGAGGGATTTGGAGAGATACAAATTAGGCATGATGAGAGTAGCTTTTGTTATCCTTCCAAAAAGGGGAGGAAATGGAAGGGAAGAGCAACAAAGTTTAATAAAATTTTTCTAATAGCAATTTTGACCTTATTTTATAAAAGACAAAATCAAAATACCATGAGTACTAGGGCATGCTTTTATTCTCTTTCAACCTTTTTGTTTTCAAATTGTAACTTTGGCTTGAATGATGTTTAGCACAATCTTTATATTTGCTTTATCACTTTTTGCCTATATATTTGTCTTTTAAATGTGAAAAGGAATAGTGGTAAATGCATTAAAATAATTTTATTTCCTTTCTTTCCCCAAACATGATTAAGTGCTAAAACTATCATTTCCTTTCTTTTTCCTGATTGATCAACCAAACACCATGAGTGCTTAACACAATCCTTTCCTTTCCTTTATTTTCTTCTCTAGTGCTAAAACTATCGTTTCCTTTCTAGTATCTAATGTTAGCATTTCTTTTCTTTTCCCTCATGTTATACCAAACATAGCCTACATGTATACACTCCTCAGTAAATAATAAACACCCTAGCCATTAAAGAAAAAGTCAAACTAAACACGATTACTTGTTGATGAGAATAAAAACCATAGTCTGTAAAGAAACAGTCGGTCACTCCGATTAAGCTTTTCAGCAGCAAATTGGAAACACACCGCCAAAACAACTACATGAAAGAATTAGTTTAATATTCATTAATTGTTTCTTTTTAGATAAACATTTCAACCCCAACATTGTTCACACCCACTGTAAAATGAATTGAAGAAAACTACAATTAAATAAAGAACCAGAAATATTTATTTATTTAGTTATTATTATTATTATTTTGACATGTTCCGTGCTTTAGCAAATTCTTGAAAAAGTGCAAGCCACAATGAGTAGCATGCTATATACCAATATGGTTTGATAGAGATGGAAGAGAATGAGTAATAACAGTACCACAATTATGGATTTTTTCTTCATAAACACACAATTTAGCAACAAGCTAATGACTATAATAACATAGATTTTTAAATGAATTCGACCTTTTGATGGAATTAGTTCCCATCATCTTCAACCTAATTTGTCACACAAATGATAATGCAAATAAATAAGTTTCTTATTCACTCATGCATTCATTTGTAGCTCCAATTGCCAGAATACTAGTGAAAAAGGTTTCCCAAACTTGTAACCAATTCAACCTGAAACCTTTTTCACGCAAAGAAAAACCTAAATGCAACACATTTTCAGCAAATCCCATGGCCTAAAGTATCCAAATGCGAAAAAACCCTACCAAACAAAAAGAATTTTCAATTATTCATCAATTTGTTTTTATATTGCCAACAAGAAAATCATTACAAAATGAAGGCTTCCACATATGCAACATTTCGATGAACACATATTTTTTAACACATACAATCACAATTATATGTAAATTGATTTATATACACGAGGGTAAAACACATAAGCTTTAAGATCATCACCTGACCAAAATCGGCCAACTTAAGGACACCATCAGCCGATATCAACAGATTCGAAGGTTTCAAATCCCGATGCACGATCGAATTTCGATGGCACGCGTCGACGCCACACAAAATTTGAACGATCCACCGTTTGATCTCGCCGACGCTGACACCACCCTCCCACACCCTCTTGGCCTCCCTGATCACCGACGCCAGATCGGTCGGAAGGAACTCCAGCACGAGCACTGCGTCCTCGTTTTCGCGCCAAAAATACTCGTGCAAAACGACGACGTTGGGGGAGTTCTGAAGGGTCTGGAGGGCCTCGATTTCGCGGAACGCCGATTGGTAATCGTGGACCTCCTTGAGTGCGACGAATACGGAGTCAGACCGACGGCGAGCTCTGTACACGTCGGAGTACGCGCCGGAGCCGACTCGCTCTAAGATTTCGTATTTCTCGGTGACCTCACGGCGGGTGTATATGCTCCAGCTATTTGACGGTGGTGGTGACTCCATGGTGTTTTGAGAAATGTACAGAGGTCTGTTTTTTCTTTTTCTTATTATTATTATTTTTTTTGAGATAATGGTGATCTAGGGTTCCATTTTTCAGATGAAAAATGACTGAATTCTTCTCCGAGGAAGAAGACGAGTCAATTGCACGTGAACAGCACGTGCCTGTGGGTAAAATGACGGATATACCAATCTAATTTTTGGCCACAAAACAAGACTCATTTTAGGTACTTTTTTCATTCTTTACGAGAATTGTCCTTTTTCTTTGGGTTTTGGTTCAATATTGTTCTCTTATTTTTACCCAGCAATAAGAAATTTCTTTTCTATTAAGAAAGTGTTAAATTATAATTTCAGGTTTCGGACGAGGTTTATATAAGTAATGCTATTGGGCATCTTTTATTTTACTCTTTTTTTTTTTTTTGGTGTTATAATTAAAATTGTGCTGTAATTAAATTTATTGCAAAAACACAATTGAAAAGATCGGATTTGCCTCATTCAGTTTTTTAAAACGGTTATATGAAAGAGACTTTTTTTAATTGAATTTTTAAAAAATAATTTTAAAATACTGTCAATCAAAAGCACAATTTTAAGATACGTGGAATTGTGGATCACGATTTTTGTAAAGGTTGTGGTCTACAAATAGAAATAATTGATCATCTTTTAGGTAAATGCCCAGGTTGTGGTCTACAAATAGAAATAATTCATCATCTTTTATGTAAATGCCCAATCCATTTTCACAAGCCAAAGTTTCGTCCCCAAGTATGATTCTCTATCCCGTGTGCTGTGCTCGAGGCCCTTCTTGATGGGTGCTTGGCTTTGTAAGTTGTTTTGATTATAATGCAAAAAAAATAAAAAATAAAAATTGTATAATTTTAAAATTTTCAATTATCAAAAATAAAAAATTATTCTCAAAAACTGAACCAAACAAATTCTCAATTTAAGTTTCTTTACAAATAATAATAATAAAAAAAAAAAAAATTCCAATTGACAACCTTTTATCATGCGGTTTTTGGGATGGCCCCAAGAGAATTCAAAGTTCAGACGTCCAAAATGTGAAGGAAACAGAGTCATTGCCAATAAACTATATCCCCTGGCAGTTTATTTTGGCAAAATTGCTTCCCTCATTTCGTTGCTTTCTCTCAAATGTTCCAGTGAGTGTTGGAGAATCGAGAGTTGAGAAGTTAGAACGTTGAGAAGTTACGGTCAAAATGGGAATAAGATCTATGAATGGTCCAATTATTGACAGACTACATCATTAACAGAGAGGAAGCAAAATATTTTCTCTAAGCTTGTGAGAAGGCAATGAGGATCTGATAACGTTAAGCTCATATAGTAGGCAAAATATGAGATGAAACACAGTGCATGAGAGAATGAACAATTCCCTCTGCTCTTCTTCATGCCAGTTTGTAGAATAAAGTCGAATAGCTATTTCCAAGATCAGCAAACTACGTTGCTCCAGTTACTAATACAGGCATACACATTAAATAGGTTAATTGCCATTCTCAAGAATTTGGGACTTGTTGAATGCCAAGAGCATTTGCAAAACAACAATTCTTGTTAAAAGTAGGCAACTCCGATCCACCACGAAATCGATATTTCCTAAGCAACGCAACCTCCACACACGATGCCCCTGCTGAAATTTTAGAAAGAAAAATCATATATATTTAGTAGAGGATTATGGATAAATCTGTCCATGATTGTGTAGTGATATATGATTAACAGATTATATGGTTGCAGCTTTGGTTGGAAAACTCAGGAAGAGCATATAACAGTACAGTTCATGATGCTTTCAAATTTCAACTTTACACCATTGTTTATAATACACTCCCCTAAAATATGTAAGACAATTATCACATGGTTTGGCAGCAGCAGACCATGTGACAATTATACAAATGCACAAAATTCTTCAATATCTCGATTCCAATGTCGATATATTAGAAGTTAATATTAAGGTTATAAAATTTCTGTCTTTTCTTGTAATTGCAGAATTAGAATGACACAAACTAAGCAGTTTATGATAACGTAAGGTTCGACTGAAGCCACAATCTCATACAACGCAAAAATTTCCAACTCCAAAAATTTGGGACATGTCTTCATCAAGTTAAATTGGTGAACTTCAATGAATAATTCATTCTTCATGTTTATTTTTCCTTGAAATCATTATGCATTGCAAGACAAGGAGTCTATGGTTGAAGAAACTGCTCCGGGATGCTCCTTGATTTAGGTTTTCTAATCACTGACTTGCAACCACATATTAAATCCACATTACCCTAAAATTGAGCTGTTTTTGTGAGTTTATCATTTGGAACTAAAACCCGACCGGTCATTTTCACCAAAACCCTTCAAGTAGAAATTCACTATTACAAAGTATAGCTCTGACCCTTCAGTTCATTTCCAGTGTAAGACAAAATGCATCAATTCAAGAAAAGCACTCAGGAAAAATGCAGTACTCACACAATTGAGCAACCAGAGCTTCTGCGGCTTTTCTTCCTTGCCATTTCCTTCCTCCTTGGAGGTTGAAGCACAGCCTTGATTGCAGTATCAAAAACAGCTTTGACATTCTAACAACCAATCAGAAGAGGCAATAGAATTTAGTTCAGAGAAATCATATTAGTCAACATATTTCATTGGTACAGCAATCAAAAGAAAAAAACAAAGAAAAAGAAAAAAAAAGATAAGAACAGAAATTGGCCAATTTTTATAATAATAGGAACATTATAGAATATTTAGTTTTCCCAAGTAATCTACCTGTTGAGTCTTGGAGCTGCACTCTATATAAGCTGCTGCACCAATCTGTTTCCTCAGCTCCTCCCCCTAAGTAATTTAGTCAAATTAAGTTATTTTATTCTAATATATAAAGCTGCTTGTCTTCAAAAATGATAATAATATATAGGTAAAAGAATCATTATATACTTGAGCATATGTTATGAAATTAGATTCCATATGATCAGCTGCATATCCTCTATCTTCACGTATATCTGAAAAGTAAAGAAAAAATGATTTAATCTGAAGCTATTTACAACATACTAACACGCCCACCAGACCACCAACTCACACATACAAATACCAAAGAAACAAATCACAAATATGTCAAGTTGTTGCGTACCTAGCTTTGTTCCAACAAGAATAATTGGAACATCAGGTGCAAATCGACGAAGTTCTGGCATCCACTGGATTAAAATTTAAAGAAAAACCCTCAATTACTGGCAGAGGATATCTAACCAAACACAGAGACAAAAAGCTCTATATTTGACGAAAGTAATCCTTCTTCCAAATTTTTAAGATCACAAAATCAAATATTGAAGAGAACATGTATCACTATCTGCTAAAGTGCAAAGCAGATAAATCATGTAGGCTTAATTCAAAATGAAAAGACGCCCTTTGTTTCTATTTTTTAAACATGATTTTTTTGTAATAGAGGCCATGGTTTGATGCAATAGTAATTCATTGGACTGCCAAAAATGACTTGGGCACTAATAATGCAGAATATTAGAACATGGAACAACATTGGCTAATTGACCTTTTTATCCAGTAATTGTAAGAAAAGGAGAAGTGGAGAAAAAAAAGTAAGAACAGAACATAAGAAAGAAAAGACACATTAGCACTGAAATCTATACCTTCTTGAGCACATTTTCATAGCTTGCCCTGCTGATTAAAGAGAAAGCTAAGACAAATATGTCTGCACCTCTATAACTCAATGGCCTCAACCTGCTATAATCTTCCTGACCTTTTTTTAATCAAAGAAAAAGAGCAATAGTTAGAAATTAAAAGGACCAACAAAACCCTACTCCAAACCCAAAACCTAATACAAATCCAGAAATTAAAGTTTGAAATAACTCATAAAAATCGATGTATGTAGAAAAAGAACAAAACCTGCAGTGTCCCATAGCCCCAAGTTGACAATGTTCCCATCCACGGCCACATTAGCACTAAAATTGTCAAATACTGTGGGTATATAATCCTGCCAAAAGAAGCCCAAAATGAGAGACAGAGAGTAGATAGATATTATACACACACACAGAGAAAGAGGGTTCCTGTCCTCAATGTTCCTAAAATACTACACAGAAGACTCTAAAACTAAAAGGTATACAAGAAGAATCATGAACACGCTCAACATTTGAAACAACTTCATTAGAAAGAGAAATAAACGACACATTGAAAACCCAATCTAGATAATATATCATCTACTGAGCACCTAAATCTTGAGGATTGAAAACCCATAACTAGAAACTATATGAGAAACCCAATAAATGAAATAAAATAAAAATAAAAATAAAATCATCAAAAGAAAAAAGAACAAGACAATGAAAAGAATGGGTTTTACGAGATGGGTATATTTTGTAGAGACTCACAGTGGGGAACCTGTTACTGGTGTAACAAATGAGCATGCAGGTCTTCCCAACAGCTCCGTCTCCGACTGTAACACATTTGATGAACTTTGAAGCACTCATCTTCTCAGGCTAAAGCTTCCACAGTAAGCTCTCTCTCTATGGTGGTATATATATAGAGAGCCTCTACTGTAATTTGAAGATAATTATTTAAATATTGGTAAATTGCAGAAAACCGCTTGGACTATGATGATTTGTCAAGACGCGCCCCTGAACTAATTTTTTTGACAAACAATTCCTTACACTACCCAAAATTTTGCAATTGCCCCTGCCGTCATATTGCCAACAAATAGTGTCGTGTGGTCATTATACCCTTATCAATTGACCGTTATGTCCTTAAATTATTCAACATTTAGCCCAAATATTTTTTAAATATTAAAGTCCCATAATTCAATTTCTCTTACTTTCTGGATGTGCGTAAATCACAACGCTCACTTGATTACCATCACCCATTATCAACAAAATGTTGTTATTTTTGTCCAACCCAACGACAAATGCAACAAAGATTTTTGAATTTCTTTTGTCCATAGAACATGGATCAAAATGAGTAAGAGATCACATTTCTCTAAAAAAAAATTGACTATATTTTTTTGGTATGTATTGGAGAAATAATGCTCTAATATCAACCGTTATATCTTCATTTGATATTGTTATTGTTGTTGTTATTATTATTATTATTAGTTTGCGTGTGCATATATTAATTGAAGGCTCATTCTATAACCATTCTATCAAGTAGATGATCTTTTCCCTTCACTATAATAATTTAACTTTGTCAAGTAGGTTATCTTTTTACCTCCACTCTAATAATATCTAAATGAACATATATTTTATTAGATTGTCAAATATAATATTTTTAGTGAATATAATTGCATTAAATTGAAGAAGAAACAAAAATTAAGATAGACATAATTTAATTTAAAGGATATTACTGATATTTCATAACTTTCATCCTTTAATTAAAGGATATCATTGGTATTTCATAAAATTTATTTTCCTTTCTCCATTAATTTAAAACAAAAGAAAGGATACATTAGTAATTTCATAGTGCAAGTAACGGCTAAGTGATGTGGTGGACTAAATTTGCATAGTTTGGACAATTTAGGGGGTTGTTTGCCATTTGAAAGAGATTTATATAAAGACATAAAAGGCGAAGGAATTTTTGTAATTTGCTCTTAGAAATATGTGTGAGATAGAGACAGAGGGGGTGGGGGTCAATGGGTAGGCTTCACTCCACTGCACTTTTCAGCTCCTCAAAAAATTTAAAATCTAACAGAAATATTTTTTTGTTTTGAAATGGAGAGCTAAGCTGGGCCCCTTTCTCAAACGGCACCTAGCCACTTTCTTCGCTGGCCTGCATCCACTGTCACATAATTCAATACTTAACATCATAAAGACACATAAGCTGCTTTCATTACCATCACATTATCACTCTTAAATTTAAGGAAACAAGCAATTATTATAATTATTCAAACGTTAAAGTCTTCAATCTTCAAAGAGAAGATATTACTCAGATGATCCATAAAAGGGTCGATCACACAATTAGATTTAAGTTCAATCTTTTGACTAACATTTTGAATATCATCCTCACATTTTGCCCATATAAAAAAAAAAAAGAAAAAAAGAAAGGAATATGCAATAATATCAAAATTATATGTACTATTTTTTCTCGATAAAATAACATACAATCGTATCAACTTTTAATATAATTTTCTAGTGAATTCTTGAACAGTGTGATTAATAATTGCAAGCTTGATATAGGATGAACCTTTCTCTTTCTCTTATGAAATCCCAATTCATTGTATTTTTATAAAAAATAATGAATATAGACCAAATTTGACTGATATCTACTCATCATCCCTCACACATAAATTAAATTTTGTAACTACTTATTTAAAAAAATCAAATTATAACAAGATAAAATAAACTTGATCTATCATTCAATTATTCCTAAATATTATTATTTTAGTTAAGTATTATTCCTAAATTAGTTGAAGAGCTACTAATTATATATTTGGAAATACTTTCTAATGTCAATTTGAACATTACTCATCTCCCGACAGTGGTAAATTATATATATATATATATATATATATATATATTGGAATTAATGGTAGTAAAATATTGAACAAAAAAAATTTCTAATTTTTCTGCAAAACATATGTAACTAGTCAACTGCTTTTGGAGTAATACTTCACTTTAACATACTAGTATATATAGTTTAATCTAAAACAATAAGAAAACCAAGAAATAGCTTTCTTAGATGCACAGGGCTTTATCTTTGGTATTAGTAAATAATGATGGACCATTTCAAATAATAAGATGGCCACAAGAGTTTACAACAGAAACAAACAAGAAATTAGCATAGAAAACCAATTTTTTATTTTATTTTATATTTGGGTCGCTTAACTTGATTTTGGAATCTGAAACACTGGCGTGTGTATAGATTTGGCTCATTCGATGTCCGACTGTCCACTATAGATCTCATACATGTCTCCATATAATAAAACATATACAAGTATATGTAGAAATAAACAAACGTTGTAATTGAATTGTACGGTGATTCCATAACATTATTAAATACTGATGTCCATCTAATAAGACTGGTTAAAGTTTAGTATTATATTTGTCCGTGCCAGCCATTAGATCTGCGGTGCGTATATACGTACAAATAGTATGCAGATTCTTGTCATTTGCTACAAAGTAGAACGTAACATTGTTTAAAAGCCTAATAATTGTCATGTGACAAATGGTTAAATGTCCGTTCGATGAAAAGTGAAAGGAGTATAAATGAGAAAAAAAAAATCTTCTCCAGTTACTCTCTCACTGGACGTTCATCTAACGGTCTCCCCAATATATTCTTGTTCTCGCCAAGTTAGCAAATAAGAAAGAAATTTATTCAATTACAATTTGTTTTACCATATATACTCATTAAATATTAGAAACTTGGTAAATATGAATTTAACTTAACTGCCCAGTGAGAGTAACTTTCTAATGAATAAAGTGCTTCAGTTCTTTATATTCAACAATGCAGTGATATTTTGATGCTGGATGGACGACGAAAAATCAGTTTGCCCTTAGGGCTTTGTTTGTTCGTTTTTCGTTGTTAGGTCATATTTTTTTCGTTCGGATTTCGAATCAAGCGATTTTTGAGTCTAACTTGATTAATTTTTCGTTATCTATCTATTGGTGTGCTCAGTAGCACTTGGATCCTTTCATAAATGACTAATTTGCTTTGGGGCTAAACTTTTCCGTTTTCCTTTTTATTTTGTTTTCGTTGTGCTTTCTTCTGAGTCCTGTGACTTCATGGGAAGTCATGAATGTGTCTTGGGAATGATACATATTTCCAGAGACGTTGCTTATATGTTAAAAGACTATTTTGCCTTTGGGGGTTTATTTGGTCTTTATTTGATCTTTTCTTCCGTGTCGATTCTCGTAGAGTTTCGTGGCCTCATGGAAGGTCACTTTGGTATTCTAGGGATGTTGTATATCTCTAGAGACTTGTTTTCTTTTTTCGCTTTCGCATTTGGATTCGTATCGGGTCAAACTTCGGTTCATCACAGGACGCACTGGTTTAAAATTTAAGTGATAGTTCCATAGCAGTGTCTGTCGAACATGTTACTCTAAAATTTGTTCAGGTAGTCAAATCAAGACCCAAAAGGCTCATGCAATTGCATTGCCCCGAGGTTGTCTTCGGTTGAATAAATTAGAGTTTTTAAATTGAAATTTGTGAAATTGGAGAAAAGTAACTCACAAAATTGAATCAAAATTTTCTCCAATTCTAATTTCAAGGTTCCAATTTCATGCAATCGAACACAGCCTAAAAGGAATTTGATGATCGAGCAATATTCTTGCCCGAAATGATATTATAATTGCCTCTAAATTAGCTTGAGAGTAGGAACAAAAAATGTATTGTATTGCAACCGGAAGGATAGTCCAATCCTGCAACCCAGTGTTGTACAACGAGGTACCACTCTTATGCACAAAGGTACTATTTTTGTGCATGCAGATAATTTTTTATATTTTTTTATTTTTAAAATTTTTTTGTACAGGCCATTTTGATGACATGGTCTACACAAAAAAATATACTTATGCGTATAAAAGTGATACCTCTGTCCACAAGAGTACTACTTACACGGTACCTAAAAATAGTAAGGCTAATTTGAGCAAACAATTTTTATTTTTATTTTTATTTTTTATTTTTTGTCCACGTTAACATTTTGGTTAACTATAATTTTTCAAAACATCATTACTTTGACTCCATGAAAATCCCCCCATCAGAAAACTACAATTATGTTGAGAAACTCTCCCCCACAGTATAGATACTAGTAAAAGTAGAGCAAACTATATCAGAACATATACTAGATATCAGCAAAAACTGCAAGAACTTCAACAAACAAGCACTTCTTTATTTGAATAGAACACCACCATAAAGACTAGTGCAAACAAAGACTATTACTACATTCACATCCATTTAACATCAAAGACAGGAGGGTGAAGATTGAGTGAGACATTTAATAATATTACACAAGACAGGTACTGAAAACAAAGAGTGGTATGCATAAGGAGGAACCTATGACTATGAGGATATGTATCAAAGGGCCTTAAGGATTTCCTCGGCGCTGGAGGCAGTGAATTCACCGCCGGATTCAATATTTGCAACCGTCACCCTGAGGTCATCGAGCAAGAGAGCAAACCTTCTTGAACGAATACCAAAACCTCCCATTGAAGCGTCAAGCTCAAGGCCAAGTGCGCATGTGTACTTTGCCGAGCCATCAGCTAAGAACTTGATCATGTGTTTGTTCTCAGTGTATGTTTTTTCCCATGCCTTCATCACAAAGGGGTCATTAACTGCAAATGAAAATTTCAAAAAATAAAATAAAAATAGAGTGAACATAGAGAACAAATAGGGTGAGATGTAACACTGTAAGTTTATGTTGTACTTGGATCTGAATTTATATTTTGATTAAATTTGTTATGTACATATATATACCTTCAATAGAAAAATCTGTCTTATTGATTATTCCATCAATGAATAAGAAAAGCCAAAAATATACTGTATAATCTTGTAACGAAGAATCTGACATCAGAAACATAATGAAAATTAATTCTAGGCTTTATTTACCGAAAAACAAAAAGGAAGAGATTCTAATATTCAATTTTGATTCCCTTCCAATGATTTTGTAGAATGGAATTTACTTATTAAAAACTATTACACATAAAGATATTATAAGTGCAAAATTTAAAATAAGAGTATTGGTGGAAAGTTGAGTGGTGTAGAATTTAAAAGAAAAATAATTTCAAAAATAGGAAAGTAGGACTTAGTGGTAATTTTTATTTTATTTTTCTTTTTAGTAAAAAATGAAAAAAAAAATAATCATACAGAGATTAAATCAAACATACAGAGAGTAGTTAGAAATGTACCACTTATCAATTGTATTTCATCTACACCCCTTGCTTTCAGCTCCTCTGCCTTTTCAATAAATCCTGGTACATGCTTCAAGCTGTGCCATGGGAACATAAAGGAATCCATAATCACATAATTTTGTTGAACTACAAAAAACCAACATTTCGATCCAATCAATCAAGTAAGGCCTACCTGTTCATGTAGAGCCGTAGCTGGATGATACTTCAACCTTAAAAAACTACTATATGTTTAGCACAGAAACTACTGGTTTCTCTCTGTTTAGACTCTTTAAGTTTTCACCATAACACATGGACTCTCTTGGCTTAAATTCATGAGTATGAATTCATAAATTCACAATAGAACCACTTTAAACTTTGTTAAGGCCGAGTAAACAAGGAGATTACCTGCAAGTAGGAGTGAAGGCACCAGGGACACCAAAGAGGATGACCTTTTTACCGGCAGCAAGGGAGTGTACGGACACCTGTTGGATCTGATCTTGGTCGTCCAAGTATGCCAGACTTCCATTTGGAATCACATCACCAACAGCAATCGGAGCCATAATGGTAATAGGTGGTGATAATGGTGTGATCAAAATGCTAGGGACTTGAGGTTTACATATAGAGTTGGACGGTGAGAGTGAAGCATTGTTAATTCTGGCTTCTTTGGGCACAAAATCGTGTTATGATCTGCATACAAGACACAAGTGGTCCTTGTTTTGCACCATATACAGATATAAAATGGTGTCTGTCTGTAGGGAATGGGGCAGTTTTAGGTCCAAACATGATCTATAAAATTTATACATTATATTTTGGTGTAACCATTTTGTTTTTTAAATACTTGTGCTGTTTTCATGTAAAGCGTAAACCAAAGGGAAAACTACAACAAAATGAAAATGATTTCTGGGGTAATTAAGATTCCCTCTCTGAGCTGTCTCTCATGTTGATTAGGGGGTGATTACATGACTCTTTTTTAATGCTAAGTGACATTCTGATGACTTCATGGCTATATCCGCATGTTTATCCAAAAGCTGAAGGCATATTTCAAAGCAAACGACGTTGTAGATTGTCATTAGAACCACGAGTTTGATTTAATTATATACTGTGGAAAAATACGAGTTAGTCTCCTTGATTAGTGGTAGGTTAGCACTAGAATTGTGTAAATATTTGTTTCCTAGAGTTTAGGGAATTGTGTAAATATTTGTTTTCTAGAGTTTAGGGATTTGATTGATAGAGAATCAGGGATTCCTTATTATAGGATTTTCAAAATTGAGTTAGTTGCTGATTTTTCTCTCTCTAATTTCTTATATATAGCCCAACAGAGGCTCTTGTAAAGATATTAGCAGATTCAATATAATTGAATTCATTTCACCATATGGTATCAGAGCTGTAAGGCTTGGATTTCCTGAAGAAAAAAAAAAAAAAAAAAAAATCAGCGATTTTTTATTTTTTTTATTTTTTCTGTTCAGGCCTTCGTAGCCAATTTTCTCTGTGACTTGCCTTCATCGCAGTCATTCTCTGGCAATTTCTTTTGCCAATTTTTGCATAACCCTTCTATCTAGCCTTCATAGCCGATTGTTGAAGAATGTCATAAACTACTATTCAACCATCCTAATCACCCGAGGAAGAGCAGGTTCAGCGCCCCCACAAGTGAACTGCAGAATATTCAACCGGCGTATCGACTTAATGGAAGGAACTACTTGAAATGGTCTCAATTGGTTCGAACTTTTTTGAAAGGAAAAGGGAAATTAAGTCACTTGCTGGGAACGGGACCAAAGAAAGGTGATGTAAGTTTCGAAGCGTGGGACGAGGAGGACTCAATGGTCATGTCCTGGTTGTGGAATTCCATGACACCTGAAATCAACGATACATGCATGTTCCTACCAACTGCGAAGGCCGTCTGGGACGCTATCAACCAGACTTACTCCAAGGTTCGTGATGCGGCGTAAGTATACGAGATCAAGACAAAGACAACCTCTACAAAACAGGGGAACAAGTTCGTGACTGAGTATGCCAATTTTTTGCAAAACCAGTGGCAAGAACAAGATTACTATCGAGTGATTGATTTGAAGTGCAGCGAATGCGTTGTAATTAACAAAAATTTCATTGAAAAAGATCGAGTTTATGATTTTCTCGCTGGCCTAAACTCTGAATTTGATTAAGTCAGAATTCAAATTTTGGGCAAGGAGGAGGTACCATCTCTTAATGAGGTGATTTCATTGATTCGGGCTGAAGAGAGTCGGAGAGGAATCATGCTTGAACCTCAGTTGATTGACAGCTCAACACTCGTAGTCTCTAGTGACAAGTAGTGGGGTTTCACTCTAGAATAACCGCAAAAAGCTGAACATGGAAAGGCAGAATTATCAAAAAGGGCAAACCGAGATAATCTCTGGTGTACATACTGTAAAAGTCGCGACATACCAGGGATCGTTGCTGGAAATTACACGGGAAACCACCTACATCCAGCCGAGAATGGGGAAACAAAGGAGGACAGCAACAACGACAACAAGGACAAGCCCATATGACCTTACAGGTGGGTCAGGACCAGGCAAAAAAAATATAGAGAATTTGACGGTGAAGAAATAAAGAAGTTAAGAAACCTGCTGGGAACCCTTGAGAAACCATCTTTTGGTGCTTGTTCTTTAGCCCTTTCAGGTGAGTCTTTATTCTCCCTTGGATTAAATGTTTCTGATAAATTGTTTGTGGATTCATGGATCATAGACTCGGGAGCCACAGACCACCTGATACATGCCTCAAACCAGTTCAGCACTTATACACCATGTCCTAGCAATAGGAAAATCACTGTTGCTGATGGAACCACAACCACGGTTACCGGTGTAGGAGATATCCATATCACCTCTAGTCTTGTTCTTAAAAATGTTTTACATGTTCCTAAATTGTCCGCTAACCTTGTGTCCATTCAAAAGCTTACTAGAGACTTACATTGTCATGTTACGTTTTATCCCTCTTACTGTGAATTTCAGGACCAGTATTCGGGGAGGAGGATTGGACGTGCTAAGGAAAAGGAAGGACTCTACTACCTTGAGACACCGAGCCTTCCGAGTATGATCAGGATAAATTTATCCTCTTCGTTTATCTCTTCTTCCAATAAAGATGTCATATGGTTGCATCATTTTCGTCTCGGACATCCTTCTTTTGCAATTCTAAAAATCATGTTTCTTTCTTTGTTCAAGGGATTAAATATTGGGACATTTCATTGTGATATTTGTGAGTATGCAAAACACACTCGTGGAGTTTTTCCCATTAGCAATAAAAGAAGTTCCTCCCCTTTCTATTTAATTCACAGTGATATATGGGGACCCTCCACAGTCCTAAATGTTTCTGGTTCCCGGTGGTTTGTGTCCTTTATCGATGATTGCACTAGAGTCTCTTGGATATTTTTACTCAAAAACAAATCAGATGTGAGTAATATCTTTCTTAATTTCCATACAATGATCCACAATCAGTTTGGTACCAAAATAAAGAGGTTTAGGTCTGATAATGCGAGGGATTACTTCAATCAAGTCTTGTCACCCTTCTTTCAAAAGGAAGGAATTATTCATGAGTCATCTTACATTAATACTCCACAACAAAATGGAGTAGCTGAAAGGAAAAACGGTCATCTCCTAAACACTACTAGAGCACTCTTGTTTCATCAAAATGTACCAAAACACTATTGGGGGGAAGCAGTACTTACATCTGCCTACATCATAAACAGACTTCCTTCACGGGTTTTAGGGCCTTTCTAAATTCTACCCCGACCTTAGTGCCACAAACAACCTTACCCCTAGGATATTTGGGTTCACTTCATTTGTTCATGTCCATCGTAACAACCGGGGCAAATTAGATCCTAGAGCCATTAAGTGTGTGTTTGTAGGATACTCGTCCACACAAAAAGGTTACAAATGTTTTCATCCTCCTACCAGGAAACTTTATAACTCAGCTGATGTCACTTTTGCGGAAGGGAAACCGTATTTTATTGAACCTTATCTTCAGGGGGAGTCATCTATCATAGAAGATAAGGATTTTTTCCAGCTCGCTTTACTGTCTTCGCCTCGTTCACTATCTCTCTTACTTGTATCAAACACTCAATCTAACTCAGCACCTGAGCCTGAATCTCCTGTTTTGTCACCTATGTCTCATGTGAAGGATAATATGACTTTTGATCACGTACGGTATGGGAAAGGGAAGGTGTACTCGAGGAAGCAAGGTCTAGCTCCTGATCTGGTGCAGGCCCAAACCTCTAACCTGACTCCTGAGAATGAGGTAACAGTATCTAAACCTACTCCACTTATAGAACACCAGCTCCCTGGACCTCAAATAACTAACCAGGATTTGCCCATAGCCGTGAGAAAAGGAACTTAAGAGTGTTCCAAACGACCATTATACCTTCTATCTCATTATGTATCCTTAAAGAAATTCTCACCAGCCCATAGGAGTTTTCTCACAAGTCTAAATGAAATATCTATTCTAAATACTTTATCTGAGGCATTATCCAATGAAGAATGGAGGAAAGCAATGAGAGTTGAGATGGACGCATTAGAAAAAAAATGGGACGTGGGAGGTGGTTGATCTACCAAAAGAAAAGAAGGCAGTGTGTAAGTGGGTTTTTACCTTGAAATATAAGGCTGATGGATCGTTAGAGCGCTACAAAGCAAGGCTAATTGGTAAGGGGTACACTCAGACATATGGAGTTAATTACCAAGAGACCTTCGCTCCAGTTGCAAAAATGAACACTGTGAGGATCTTGTTGTCATTAGCAACCAATTTTAATTGGGAATTACAGCAGTACGATGTGAAGAACGTCTTTCTGCATGGTAATCTGGAAGAAGAAATCTATATAAGCATCCCGCCAGGATTTGGAGGAGTTGAAGGGAACAAGGTATGCAAGTTAAGGAAGGCCTTATACGGTTTAAAACAATTGCCTCGTGCCTGGTTTGGGAGATTTACTAAGGTGATGTTAGCTACAGGATATAAGCAGAGTCAGGGAGATCACACTCTTTTCATCAAACCCTCAGTTTCAGGGAAAGTCACGACCTTGATAGTCTATGTGGACGACATAATTATGACTGGAAATGATGAGAAGGAGAAGCAAGCCTTGAAACAATGTTTGATCAAAGAATTCGAGATAAAAGATTTGGGGAGATTGAAGTATTTTCTAGGGATAGAGGTGGCTCAGTCTAGACAAGGTATCTTCATCTCGCAGCAAAAGTATGTCATCGATCTTCTTAAGGAAACAGGAATGCTCGCAAGCAAACCAGCTGCAACACCTATAGAGCCGAACCATAGACTTGGAGAGGCCATTGGAGATCAAGCAGTAGATAGAGAGATGTACCAGATATTAGTTGGAAAACTTATTTATCTTGCCCACACCCAGCCGGACAAAGCATATTCTGTTAGCGTCATTAGCCAATTCATGCATGACCCCAAGGAGATTCATCTTCAAGTTGCCTACTGTGTGCTTCATTACTTGAAAGCTAATCCTAGGAAGGGGATAATGTTCAAGAGAAATTCTGAGCTTGTCCTTGAAGCCTACACAGATGTAGATTACGCAGGGTCCCTTATGGATCGGAGATTTACTTCAGGTTATTGTACATTCCTTGGAGGCAATTTGGTAACATGCCGAAGCAAGAAGCAAAATATTGTAGCCCGGTCAAGTGCAGAAGCTGAGTTTAGAGCAATGGCACAAGGTGTCTGTGAGTTGTTATGGCTGAAGATTATACTGGAAGACTTGAAGATTAAATGGAGTGGGCCAATGAAACTCTACTGTGACAATAAATCAGCAATCAACATTGCACATAATCCAGTGCAACACGATCGAACTAAGCACATTGAGAAAGACAGGCATTTTATCAAGGAAAAACTAGAAAGCGGATTAATTTGCACATCATACGTTCCCACGGGAGGTCAATTGGCAGATGTTCTTACAAAGGGACTCAACCGTGTTATCTTCCAAGAAATTATTTCCAAGCTGGGAATGGTTGACACTTATTCACCAGCTTGAGGGGGAGTGTGGAAAAATATGAGTTAGTCTCCTTGATTAGTGGTAGGTTAGCACTAGAATTGTGTAAATATTTGTTTCCTAGAGTTTAGGGATTTGATTGATAGAGAATCAAGGATTCCTGATTATAGGATTTTCAAAATTAAGTTAGTTGCTGATTTTTCTCTCTGTAATTTCTTATATATAGCCCAACAGAGGCTCTTGTAAAGATATTAACAGATTCAATATTGTTTATCGTGATTCCAGCCACCTTATATGTTTTGTATGTGCCTTGAAAAATGATTAATTGATAATCAAATCTATAAGCAATCTGCATTAGGAAACAATATTGACTTTTGGTTATGTTAGGAGAATTAACTTGGGTGGGTTCAATTCTCTTTTGATGCTTACTGTGTTTTTACTTTTCTAATTCTTTTTGCTGTTGTATTCTTCTGATTCTGCTTACCGGTAATTGGTGATCAACTCTTTCAACTTACTCAGTTCGAAGAAGATACTAGCATCACAGAAATATCAGAGTTCATATCTAAAACATAGGATAGGAGATAAACATATGCTCTTATTTTCTATTTCTTTGTTATCCAGAACAGTCTATATTCCATCCCCATGTATAACTGTATAAGTCAGTTTCTGTACATTATTATAAATAGACTTTTATAGTTCAAACGGTTGTCACAAAAGAACAAAGGTTATTACATTTTAATTTGAACCATATACATTTGCCCAGAATACCTCTCAGAAAGAGAACTTATTTCTAAAACCCCAAAGAATGCTAATTGATTTTTTTAGATCTCGGTTGTTCATCTGTAACTGTGTGATTTTCCAGCATCTTCCTTTTAACTCAATCCCCACGCCTGCAAAGGTGAAAATCAACACAAATTTTCCATATGTTAATTCCAATGTCAATAGATATATCCCTAACATTGTTCTTGCTGTAGAACTTTATAGTGCCAAATGATATGCAGACAAAAACAAGAGACTGAAAGTTGAAACTATTTACACACACATTGTTATTTGTTCCTTTCTTAATATTGAGAAGAAAAACAATTTACCTGAATTCTACCATCAGAAGTTCCAATCACCAAGACTTCATCTCTATCAAGAGCCATGCATAGAACCTTACTAGTCCCACCGGTTTGTAGTGTTTCCACTCTAACATGCTTTTTCCTGCACCAGACTTCCACTATCCCACCCTTGCACCCCAAATATATTAACTCTGAGCTTATGGCCATGGCTCGAACTTCCAGTGTAGATGGCAGTGATCCGATCATATTGTAATTTGAAGCACTCCATATCTTTTTTATACACAAAACAAACCGTTACCAAACATATTTCACAATGCTGAAGTTAAAAAAAAAAGAATTACTCAATGAGCTTAATTGGTCTTCCACAGCTTACATTTGGCATATGGCATGCAATTGAAAGCAAATTGAGAAAGAAGAATGCCCTTCATTAATTTCAACTATAACAAATGCTAACACATTTTATTATTTATAAAGAAGGAAAGAAAAGAAACTGTGTGATCCTCTTTATACTTGACAAATTACTTCTCTTCACCCTCCAAAATAAAGCCTTTACCGTCAAAAGTGGAAGTGTGTAATGCAATCAAGAAAATTACCAAAAAATCAAATTTCATTGTAAAATCTGGTTATTCTTTGCAGTTGCTAAAGATTAGACAATAGGTCATTTATACACGTGGAGGACATGGGGATTTTATTTTTTATTTGGTAAATAATATAGAATTTATTCATTTTTTCTTATTTTCTTTTTCCTCTTTTTTCTTTGCTTAAAGAAGTACCTTGACAGCTGCTCCATCCAATGGAGAGCTGGCTGAATATACTAGTCCCTCGTGAACTTGCAAAGCATGGACAGGATTTGCTTTCCCTATCAATTTTCTAGACCCATTCTGAATGGTACAGATTGTTCCTGTGGTCAAATCTATTTCCTGAAAAATCATGAAAATTCGTATGTCATATAATTCTGATGTTAACAATGAGATGGGCTCAGAGTTGTGCAGATGCAAATAAGATGGTGCAATTAAATTTTGATACCTGAATACTGTTGTTGTGGCATCCACAGTACAATTTTCCGTGTGAAAGAGCCAAGCACTTTGCATATTTGTTAGGATTCAACAATTTGGACCCTCCGTTCCATGAGTGCAACTGATAAAGAATACCAAATAAAAGTTTAGTTTAAATATCTCTGCAACTTTTTTAATGCACCTTAGCCAGATACTAATATCTGAACCTATTACCATCCAAACCAAAAAATTTAGATAACATAGCGATGGTGAAAACAGTAATAAGTTTTAGCACTTGAACAAATGAAAATGACTGAAAAAAGGGAATAAGATATAACATTATCAATTTCTCTTGACAGGTTAAGTAATTGACTAATTGTGATGGCCTGCAAACAATTGCCCTGCTTATGAAATGAAGGTCAAACCATCCTCTTTACTGTTAATTACAGGAATAAAAAGGATTTGGTAGGTAAATGGATGGACTTCATATCATACCTTGACACCAGCTCCCTGTGGAATGAAGCATGAAATGCTGTTTGCAACTACTAGATTATTGACCTGTTCCTTCATATCGTGAATTTGTATGCAGTTCATCACTTCATTCCCAATTGTCCAGACCTAGTATTGGAGAAATAAGTGTTAAAGCAGTTCAAACTACGTCATGATACTCATGAGTTAGAGGGATCAACAGAACATACCCTCACACTTCTATCAAGTGAACCACTGTATAGTCTTTCCCCTGACTGTAGAATTGCCAAGCTGGTAACTGCCTTGGTATGTTCTCTGGTTTCTTGGACAAGCTGAACCCTACCATTACCAGTCCAGACCTTCATAATTTGGAAAATCATGTCATTAGACTCAAAATTCGCAAAGTTCTTGTTGTTGCTATATTGTAAGTTACATGAGGTTTTTATGGGGATTAATAGCTTAATCGTGCCAATCCTACATAATTAATATCACAAGCACTGTTTTATATTCTGCCAATGCATCTGACTGTACCAATGCTAACTGATGGTAGTCGTGTCTAAAGCTTTACTGGACATTTTCTCTTAAATTGAAGGACCATTTTTCAATGGAAAGCTAATCATCTTGGGAGTGGGGAAATAGATCACCATAAAAGAATCTTCCAACTAACTGGCAACAAATGGAAAATGTGCACGAGCATATGCTCCTTATTCATCCAACCATCCACTTGTGCATTTGTGCCCACAAACTGATTGTATTAACTGATGTGTATATCCATAAAAACCACTCGAAACCAATGAACACTGAACTAAATATTAAGAATGAGATGCCATGGTAGCTCATGGACGTATATTCTTTTACGTGTCGCTTACATATGGTTTCTGTTTGATCTATGTATATATTTGGTACATTGTTCCTTGTTGACATTATGCACTGATATGCTCTATATATTCATTTCAGGATCTGCATGTGTAGTGTCTACAAGATAATGCAACCAGTCCATGACTAAAGTCTCCATCTATCAGTATGATTTAGCAATTTAGATAAGTTGAAACTGGAAAGCAGGAAATTACATGAAAATAAGATAAGTTGTCTTATTTACCTTTATTGTTCCATCTGAATGGCCAGAAATTATCTTTTCTTTAAAGCAAGCTATTGACAACACTTCTCCATTTATGCTACAATCTTCTTCAACTAATTCTTTATGATTCCACATGTCCTGATGCCAAAAATCAAAATATTTCGTTTAGGTAATTCCTCTTTCTGGAAGAAGATAACACTGAAGTTCGACAACTTACAGCACTAGACTCATGCCCTTCTGATAAAACTTTCAGCATATCAAATGCAACGACAGAGGATTTCTTAAGCTCTCTCAGACCCTTCAAAATATCCTTCATGTGGGACGTTAGATCTTGCAGTCCCTCTGAATTCAGAATGTCAAACAAGTTTAATTTTCAGTACTTACGGAACTAAAAAGCCAGGAATAGATGGAAAATGCAAGGCAAGCATACTAAATTTGATTGAATAAACCACGAGAAACCTACTAAAATGAAAAGAAAAATCCAATATGCAGATATTACCTTGAGTGTGGTCACATACCAAAGAGAACCACCACTTCATTTTTATTGCCATATATTTTTGTATGAATATATGACATTGATTATTATTTTTTCAGTGTATTAATTTTTTTTTTTTCAGTAAATACAGTGTTCTTTATTTTCCTAAAGAAGGAAGTTATACACACTTCTTATGATTTCTTTTGGGTGGTTTGGATTGGGTGACACAACCTTTAAGAGTAACTATTCTTGACGCTAGCGACTGTTTTTATGGATGACACTATTCCCTTGAAAGCATCATGAACAAAATGGCATTGATTTAGTTCAAAGTGTTGTCAAAACGCTTCATTTAATGTATGGAAAGACTTAAATCAAAGAGATCCTGGTAAATTTGTCTATCTAAATTATAAGCGAGTTGCACTAAATGTTACAGCAATGTCCACATATAAATAGACAACTACCCACCAGGATCACGGATGAAGCTGTTCAAAGCAAGCATGGAAAGGGCTCTATCTTCGGTGTCCTTTGCAGACTTGAATATTGATACAAAGCGCTTGAGCAAGCAGACTCGAGCTGCTCCTCTTAATCCTGTGTCTGGAAGAACTGTGAGCATGTGTACGAGCCATGTGGCTGACACAAAACATGCTGAACATAATTCTGCATATCTACTCTTTAAGCCTTCTGATAAGGCCTCAAACAGCAAACCGAATTCATGGCTGACTAGCACAAATGCCATTCTTCTCTCCCATTCATCAGCAGCCTTCTCTTCTTCCTAGAAATGCAAATTATAGATAAAATATAATGACATTAGAAGAAAAAATCTTTAATACTTTTGCAGATATAATCAAATAAACAAAACACAAAGAATACGATAATAGGAAAAGTGGCAGCAATTCGATACTATGGTATATTTTTTAAAAATAAACAAATGCCAAAATATGAAATGTCCAAGCTAACCAAAGTTTCTTGTATCTCTCCAGATTTGTTGCTTAGCTGCTCCTTTCGCATTAGAGACCTGTAACTTTTTTCAAGTCCTGCACGTTTTAGGAGAAAAGCCCGCAAAAGGGGTTCTCCAGAAGATGAGAATCTCCCTTGCAAGGACAAGATTGTCTCAGCAGCTGCTATTTGGACAGCAGGGAAGTCTGAATTTCTAAGGCATGAAATAAGGGTATCTATTGCCTCTTCTCGATATATACTCATCTTTCTTGGCTCCACCTGCAAACCAAAATACTATTGGTTAAATTTCTATTACAAATCATTCTTGACTCAGTTTAACTAGCGCACACACAAGAGTGCATGCGTGCAACAAGAGAGAGAGTTCCAAACCAGGAGGTCAAGCTGGAGGAGGAGACCGGCCACAACAGCACATTGATCCTGGAGGGCTGTCTGTAGATATATGAGAAGGGTGTGCATAGTACTAAAAGTACCTTCATCCTTTATTATATGGAGGATCTGCTCATTAAATGTCCTCCTGGAGATAAGAAAACATTGAAAATCCTTCATGTTAATATAAGCCCCAGTTATTGGAAGCAATCTCAATATGATACCCATGACTAGAGACAGCAAATCAACAAAAAAAATACCTGTTTAATTTAACTAATTCAGAGAGAAAGTGAACTATCTCAAACCGTTCTCCATCATTCGCCCCTATGAAGCTCCCCAAAACAGGAGCCAGTTCAGCCTTATCAGCAATGACGTTCCTGCACTTGCCATCCTCCTGCATGCATCTCAACAAGATCCCGACTGCCGCAATCCTTTCCTCTGCCCACTCAGCTTCCAAGCTGTTCACAATACTTTCAACCACTTTTTCTGAGATCACACTCCTAACAATTTCGGTAACAGTACTCTCCTCAGCACTTCCAAGAATCTGTCCCAGCAAAAGCACTGAAGCTGTTTTTGGTTTCATACACATCTTAAGCAAATCATTCTCTTTCTTACTGATAACCATTAATAGGGAATCCACCATGTCCATCTCTACAAGGCTCATGGTGGAAGGCCTTAACAGATAAATCAACACAACAGCCTCGTGCAGACCCTTGTTGAAAAGAGCAACAACACATTCCACATCAGAATCAACTTGTGTAAGTGTCTGGATCACACCATTGTCTCTTGACCCCAGTTCAGACAGAAGAAAAACTGTGGCCCTCAGAACCCGGGGATCAACAGAATTGAAAAGGATCTCGACAAACCCATTAATAACTGGAGGTTTCGAAAGCATAGTTTGAATCTCCACCTCCAAAATAGCTTCTTTCCAGAAGCGCTCAATTCGGAGGACTGCTGTTTCAGACTCCTCCAGTATCTCTGACATACAGAGATTGGTGATAGCGAGTCTCAGCTCGCTAACTGTGCCATCAATGGTGGCCTGGGTTATTACACTGTTAGGAGAAGTCGAATGCATCACTGGGTTGAAAATTTGTTCACTTTCCTGGTGAGAGTTCTCGGATTGGATCAGAGTTGAGCTGGGATTCTGTTCTAGCCAGCTTGCTATGAGTCGTTTGAGTACATAATTTGTTTTAGGCAAGTGACTATTATGCAGCTTCTGGCGCGTAATTGGGCATGAGGAGTTTCCCCTGTCAAGCCATTCTTGGATGGCTTTGCGTTCATAAGTCTGGCCTGTTTCAAGAGTGACTGGATCATCAAATATGTGACTGGTTATGGGACAGACAAAGTCCTTTGGAGGAGTATTTTTTCCGCCACCTGGTGGATTATCAATCTCTGCCATGAGAGGATCTGGTGAACTGATAACAGGAAAAATCCAAATATGAGGTAGCGCAGAAGACAATGTAATTTTGACGAGTATTTTCCTAAATTACACATACCGGCTTGATTCTGCAGAAAATGACAGCTTATATTTATGGGATTGGCTCTGTATAGGGTTGAAAAAAGCTAATTTTCCCTTGTTTTCCTACAAGACCAAGGACAATTTTTATGACTATAATAAATTACATAGATAAATCAGTCCATAGAAGATATCTGTATCTTGTTAGTATCGATTACCTCTGTTTCTACTTCAGAATCTGAAGAAGAAGAATCACTCAAGTGGGCATCAGAAGAAGACTCGAGTTCAAAATCAGAATCTCTTTTGGGTGAAGCTTTCAATTTCCTTGAAGATCTTTGTTTCATGAGGATTTGTGGAGAGACTCTTTCAGGACAAAAAGATGGAAATTTGGTTAGGCTTTTGCCACTGCCGCTGTGGAGCTCAACTGAGTTTTCTCCTTCAGCCCATATTGGCTGCATGAAATTGGAAGAAAAAAATAATGGGTCATACACATAACCAAGCTTCAACTTTTCAAACAAAATTTAGAGAAACTGCTGGTTGACTCTAAAAGTCACTGTTTCTACTACACAGACAAACATTGAAAATGTGCTAATAATTCCAAAACCCACAAGCATATATTATATTAAACAAATTTTGACAAAGAAAAAAGTTGAGAGAGAGAGAGAGACCTGTGATGCAAGGAGCTTGAATGATTCAATGAATTTAATTAACACATAATTAAAGAAGTACACTAATCAATTAAAACACCTTAAAAGGCGTAGCACTTTCATTAAGATATTATTTAGCATGTAATAATAATTTTTTTTACACCAAAGATAACAGGTGAAGGTAAAATATATAACAGAATTGCTGAGAAAAATTTGAGAGAGAAATACCCGTGATAGAGCTTGAATGATTCAATGAATTTAATTAACACATAATTAAAGAAGTATACTAATCTATTAAAACACCTTAAAATGCATATTTTCATTAAGATATTATATAGCATGTAATAATTTTTTTCACACCAAAATTAAAAAGGTAAAGGTAAAATATAACAGAATTACTGAGAAAACTTTCCTAGACTGATGCAAAGTTTCTCTATACTTCCTTCTGTCCTATAAGTTCCCAATCTCCTTAAATCTCAATTATTTATGAGTAGGCCTCACATAACCATTACTCCATTAGTAAGAATCCAAGCAACTGCAAGGATCCAATGCATCGATCCATGTGAAAACATTAAAATCAAATTGTTCATTTAAAAAAAAAAAAAAAAAAAAAAAAAAAATTATCTCATCAAATTTTGAATTATCTAGTGCAAGGTGACCCACTGATTGAATAGTTCAAAGTTTATGAGTTGTCACGCTTCATTTTCTAAGGAAAACTATATTAATTGCTATTTCATTTTCTTGCTTGACAAAGTCAAAGATGAAGAGCAAACACAAACAAGAAACATGGTTTATATTTCAATGCACAAAAAGGAAAATGAAGACTCCAATTTATATCGAGGAAGAGGATCTCAACCCAAATTTAATTGAAAAAGAACTCCATTATTATTGCAATATTAGTAACAAGTAACAACAAGGTTAACCCATTCCTTCTAATGTCATTCCAGAGAGTCCCATGATTATTATGTTTAAAGGCCTTGATAACAACAGTAGTAACAATAATTATGATGGAAATTATCAAAACTTGAAAAGTAATGCAATATAAGAACTAATTGCAAATAGAAAATTGGTAAATTTAAAATTCAGTCAGTGAGAAGAGATTTATCTTATTGAACAATTAAGGTTGCATCAAGTAGAAACAGAGATAATTTGACAAAAATTAACATAAACCAAGGAACAATTTCAGAAAATAAAGCATTACATTATACCGTCCGTTTTGCAGTCCAGATTCTTCAGCTTTAATGTTCTCATCTTTGCTATATTTGAATTTATTTCCTTCTTCAAAAATTCTCATTACCAATGATGGTGGATCAATTCTTCGAGTTCCATCATTATTTCCCAAAAGCTCTTTGAAATACCCAACAAAAACCTTGCAATTCTCATCAAGCGCCTTCTCATAATCTCTCTCCAACTCTTTCAACTCCGAAGCTTGATAGCCACTCATGTTAGACAACAACCTTGTGGATGAAATTGATCCTCCTTTATCATCATTATCATTTGTCGAAAGGGATAGCAAAATTTTCGACCTTTGATTGTTATACCATTGAAGAAGAGGAAGAAAATGCATGAGAAACAATTCCTCGAACACGACGGATGCAATTTCCAATCTTGCCAAGTTAGGGTCGGTATAGAATATGTCAAGGAGGCTAAGAGCGGCATCGATGGGACGGTGACAAAGAGAGTAAGTGAGTGATAAAAGAAACGAACAAAATGGATTTTCAGAGTAAGAGAGGAGTAGCTTTTCCGCGAGCCGGAGAGAGGAAGATCTAGCGGAGTTGTTAGTGGTGGAGATGGCTTTTTCTAGAGTTTCAGCGGCAAGGTTTAGTGTTTTGAGGGTGATTTGGTCCCAAGATGGTATCTTATGGCGGAAGGTGGAGACAAGGCGGTGGCGGAGCTCGGACTGCGAGATTGTTTCCGAGATAAAGGCGGTGGTGTGGCCGATAATTTGGGCTGAAGTGGTGGTGGTAGTGGACATGATGGTGGTGGTGGTGGGAAAAAATGGTGAGTTTGAGAGGGTTTTGTTCGGTTTTGGGTTTTGAGTTGGGGAAGAGAGTATCAATTTAGGAATAAAAAAACGGAAATCTTTGTTGATTGTGCTGGCGCGAAAACTATAGGACGGCATTTGAAATGACCTAGCGTACCCTTGAGTTGTAAATGTCCTTGGGGTCATACCCGGTTTTTGGACTGATCAAAATCAATCACTATAGCAATTTCTTGGAACCTCTTTCACTTAATTTATTTATTTATTTTTCCCTCCCTCTTTCAATTTATCCAATCACCTGTTTTGATTTATAATATTTGCTATGTAACATTACTTGAGAATAGGTAAACTAAAAATACCAGTCTTTTACAAGATAAGAGTGTAATTTAAGCAAGTGAATCTGAAACTATCTCAATATACATTTATGGTTTGGATTATAAATTTATAATTCGACTGTAATTATAGTTGAGCTTGAAAATGGTATTGAACAATTTAATCTTAATAAAAATTTGACATATATTACTATTTCAAGAATAAGACAAGAAGGTGCTCTCATAACAATTTAATCTGAATTGTCTAATAAATGATACAATGTAACAGTTAATAAAAAGAGATCATAAAAGTAATCTTGATAGCCTTACTATTATTATAATTATAATTATAATAATAATTATTATTATTAATCCGATCAACAATTGATCTAACTCGGTTTATGAAGGAAAGAAAATTTCAATTGGATTAAGTCCGTCCATCCCACGTTCCTGGGTTACACTCCTCCTCCACAAAGAATTATAGAGGGCTATTTAGGTATTTCAGGGTTGTATTGTTACAGCTGTTGCCCGGTGGCGAAGTTTTATCAAGCAAAATGAACCGAGCTAATGTGGTAATTTAATGGATTCGAAATTCCGCCGCAAAACTGAAGTGGAAGAAAGAATTAAGAACAGGTATGCCGTCCATGCCGGCTTGACCGTTTATGCAAACAACTTTCCATAACTCAAAATTTGCTTCTTCCTTTTGTCATTCGGCTTTTGCATAAAATATATATATGTACATGTACGCCAAGTGGAATTCTCATCCTAAACTATACAACTTGTGCGTTCACATAAGCCCTCATTGTTTGTTGCAGGTAAAATACTACTCGCGCGGTTGTAAATGTAAAAACATACATTGATATATTATAGGACCTTCCATTTTTTTATGTGAAAATTTAGATTCTGAGGTTATTTTTTAAGTAATGCCACGATAATAATAATGATGATCTGTTTTCAAAGAATTTCACATGAGGAAAGTTGAATGTTACCCTGTATTTTATAGTACAACCATTTGTACTTCTCCAACCGAAGGTAGTATGATTGTTACTCTTTATATATATATATATATTGACCAATATATATATAAAGAGTAACAATCATACTTCAATGGGAGCAGCCAGATGCACTTGGGTGGGAAACAAATATATCCCTCTTGAATGCATTTATAGGAGAGTTGTTGGACACTTCAAACTCAATTCTTTCGGATAATGTTCGTGTGAAATGCAGTTTGGATGAACTTTGTCCACCCTGCTGACGTGACTTCAATGAATTTAAAATAAGTATTCAAAAGCAAAAATTAAAATTAAGTTGAGAATTGCCCAACTATTCGGATTTAATCCATTTCTATTACTATATAATCAAGCGGCGTGAACAGTTCTTGCAAAACCTTCGTTAACTCTAGCGCCAAATTTCAAGCAGGTGACAGTTCAGAAATCCAGCAACTCAACCCGACGAACGAGCGAAGCTTCAAGTAATGAAACCCGGCTCGAAAATTGTGTGAATGGAATCCAGTGGTGGTGAAGAACTGAATGGCGGCGGATCTGTGATCGACAAATTTGAACCAGCAAGAATGGATGATTGAATGGAACGACGGACGGTGGGCATGAACCAGCGATGAAGAGGTGAGCAAAGATAGTCGACAATGGCGATGTGGTGGTGGCGTTGAACATAACCGACAAGAAGCACGGTTGTTTTTACCGGCGTTTAAGAACGACGCGATGAGCTCGGCAAGGATGGTGGGCGACTATGAACTAAGCTTGGTGGTAATGAGCTCGAAGTTAGGCCAGCGAGCTCGGATGATGGAGGTGAAGAAACGAAGGTGAACAATGCAGATGGTCTTTCTTGGAGAGAGAAAAATGATAAACAAAAAAAATAAGCAAATTTTACAGCAATGGGTGAATAATTGGGCAATACCCAACTTAATCATAACTTTTGCTTTTGGACACTTTTTAAATTTATTGGGCCACATTAGCAGGTTGGACACAAGCATTGTCTAATTTTTTATAGGGCAAAGTCAAAAAAATATCCTTAATGTTTTATTTTTGGGCAAATAACACCTATATCGTTTATTTTGGATATATAACTCTGTTAAGTTTGAAAAAATGAGCAAAGAAGGGCTTATGTTGTGTATATAAGTCCGTTAAGTTTGAAAAATGTGCAAAAAGGGCTTGAAATCACTATTAACTTATTAAGATAAAAAAATTCTGAAAACACCCTTATCTCTTCCTACAATGCCTTTATAAAGGCAAAGTGAGAAAAACACCACTAATGTTTACATTTTGAGCAAATTACGTACACACTTATCCTTTATTTTGAATATATAAGTACGTTAAGTTTGAAAAAATATGACAAAAAATGGCTTGATATCATTGTTTCGTTAAAAAATTATTCATGTGTAGGGCCGGTAGGTATTTCTTAAAAATGTCACATTTAATTAGGTATTTTTCTTATATTTTTTTTTAATTAGGGACACTTTAGTCTTTTTAGCATTTAGGTCCTTGTTTATTTTAAAATTGAATGTTATAGACTTTTTATAACATAGAAGGGGTTATACACTTTATATGCATACCATAGAAAAATAGAAATGCTGTTTGCTCGCTACCCTTCTTTATAATTAAACTTGCTTAAAGAACATGTATGGTAGATTTATACAATTGTAAGATTCTCCTCCTATTTGATGAGAAGATATTGGGTGAGTTAAACATACCGCGTAATTAGTATGTTCACTTAATAAAAATGTATAATATTAATTTATTGAGAGCAACTTTATTGAATGTCAATTTAACCAACCCGGTCCGCCTTTATTGGGACACGTTTAAAATCATCTTTATAGGGTTATGGCCAAGTTTGAAAAGAGAGTTTAAAACTTGCAAAGTCCTTGAACAGTTTCGATTAATAATTAATTCAAAATTTTATCTTAGGTTTGTTTAAATTTGAACAATTTCTTAAAACAATATGTATATCAAAGCGTTCATAAAACGCTGGACTCGACTTGGATGTGGGGGCATCCCGGACAAAATTTGGAGAAAATAAAATTCATTGTTTAGATGGGTTTAGAAAAATGGTGCCCACTCTGTAGGCATTCCTAATCTAACAAGATGTTACAACTGGAGAAAGTATACAATATCGTCACTAATGTTAATTCGTTGTTTCCTAAAATCAAGGAAAATATACCCCGACTTGCAGTTGCAACTACAAACAATTTTAGAATTAGAAGTGGTTGTACCACATACTATTTCAAGTATATGCATTATTTCAAGTACATGCATATATATAAACACAAACTCGCACCAACTTCATTACACAGGCTACGGGCCTCGTAGTTACAATGATTCGAACCGGGCTAGAGCCAACTTGGGCCTGCTGACTACACTGCGTTGTAGTTCCTAATATCAGCGAGTCAGGCCAGTCCTACAGGCCACAACCAACAGGCCGTATTCTAGTTTTAGAAATTCTTTGCTTATAAAACATTTCAAACTCAGTTGCTCCCAGACCAATCCGGTGGATATATGTTTGGTAAAGGGTATACAAGTCACATGACCCAAACACCACTCTAGAAAAAGGAAATTGTAAGTGAACCAATGCACACATGACAAACAAAAACATCACAGCCCATATATGCAAACATGTATATATATATGGTCATGACATATAGATACAACAACTGATGCATGTGACACCTCTAATGTGCCAAACCAAACATACAAAATGAGATGATCGTTTGTTGGAATGGGGTCACACCTTAAATTCTGCCCCTCATGATTCTTGAATTGCCCTTGTGCAGACATGAAATGGCAGTTTTTTAATACTTTCTTCTTAGATTTTTCATGAAATACAAACAACAGTCTTGTCAATATGTTCTTTTTAGTATTATTGTGAAGAAAAATTCTTCAAAGCATCGAAGTGTACTTTAGTTGGAGGCATCAAATTTTGATCCTATATATACATATATAATTGTTGTAAAAGGTTTTCACTCTAACGCAAACTTTGAAAGTAGGAATTAAGAAATAAATTGAAACAAACAATATTTCAAATATGTGCAAAGCACAAGAATATTTTTGATTGCTTATACAACCATTTTTGAAGATTGTAGAGAACAAAATCAGCATAATATATGTGCAACCAATTAATTACATAAGAAAAACTCTCATATTGTGTTTGGATGCAACGAATCAACGTCTTGAAATTGATATTGAAAGAAATTCGATCAACTTAAACTTTAAACTAAGTTTCTTCAATTCCAAATCCAATATACCAATTCTTTGCTTCCAAACGTAACATCAGATCAACTCAGTCTTAAACTTGTACTAGGTCATAGATGGTGTTCAGAATTAATTAATTAATTACAATCTCATATTGTCAATCTTTTATTAACGACCCTATATATATATATATATGACTCTATGTTAACCACATCGGTGCCTCTGGGTCCTCAAGAAAGAATATCTTTAAGGAGCCTATAATGTCTATGACTCTATAGGTCAAAATACACATCATGACTTTGTAATTGATCAAAACATCTTTGCTTTATAAATTTTCAATTTTTTGCCTGTGTTGTCCGAGTTTTAAAACTGGTATATACTGTTGTTTGTGTGATTTCAGTCCAACCAAAAATAATCATTTGAAGAAATCATAATATTGAAAATAGAATATATATATATATATATATATGCAATGCTTATACAACAATTAGTTAAACAAGAAATTAGAAAATAGTGCTGCATGCAGCATATAAAATGATTGATATTCATACTAGATGGCGGCATATACATGAAAGCATTGTAGTAACCGATAATTAAAAGGAAGCAGCAGAGATAATTAAGCTTAATTATCCTAAATTAGATAGTTTCAAGGACACTTTGAAGCCTCAATCAATATTCCACACTAAATTAATTTCAACATAAATGCATAGCATCATGAGCAATCAGCCTTAGAGATTTTTAATTAGCAGATTGACTGCTCATGATGTTATATCATTTCATGAAGCTCCTGTACGTGTGCCTGCAGCCGTGTCCAAAATATCTCTATCGGAAACCACCACCCATTGCCGGAGCCCAGTAATCAGCTCCATTGTCACTCCCAACTTGCATTGTGCACGATATTGGAACTAGGCACAGCCCTCTACTCCTCAAGTCCTTCTTTGGTTCGTCATGAGAATCCTAAAAATTAATTCGTATTCAGAAAAGGAAAAGTTAATATTACTAATTATATTTGAATTTTTTTAACTGTTGCATGTATAATTTTCTTGTACACAAATATTACAATAAGAAAGAGGGAGAAAAAAAAAAATTTGTATTGGGCAAGAGGTACCTGCTCTGAAGCTCCCTTTCTCTTGATGCAGTTGTCATTCAACAGCTATTTGAGAAATAAAGTTTAAAAAAAGGATCAAATTCAACTGAAGCAGTACTCCCTAAATATTCTTTCATATATTTTAATCAAGATTAAAGTCTATAAAGCTGAAAACATTGTGCTTTTAAACACTTTCTTTGCAGGAAAGAGAAAAACACAGTAGTAAATTAATTGTTAGCCTTTTTAAATACAGGCCAGCTTCTCTATATATGCCTTTGAGGAGGTAATGGATCCAATGAAGCATATATACCTGACCAGGGTCTTCAGGAAACAAACAATTCCTCTCCCCTTGAACCTACAAAAACAATTTCAATCATTAATCAATTAATGCCACATATTAAATTAACACACATATATATATACACACACACATATGTGTGTGTATATATATATATATATAAATAGAGAGAGAGAGAGAAAGAGAGATTGTGTGTGTGTGTTGCTTTGGGAGGTGAGAAATATAAGTTGATGTGGTGTCTTACAGAATGTTGCTGCCTTCTATTTCCTGATCCACTGCCCAAGTACGGCAAGCTAAGAGCCTGCATTCAAGGGGGAGGAGATAAGTTTTTTGGAATTTCAATAACCAAAGAATGTTAGAGCAACTTTGAGAAATGGGACTTTAACTATATATATATGTGTATGCGTGTGTGTGTCTGTGCCATCACTAGCTGGTTCACAGTATTCTGAAATATATATATATATATATATATAAGAATATATAGGAAGAAACATCACCTCAATTTGATTCTGAAGGAATCTAATGTACCCAATAGCTTCTAACAGGACCGAAGCTGTGTCAGTCTAAACAGAAAGAAAGAAAGAAAAAGGCCATCACAACCTCTGAAAGTCATGTTTCATGTCTTCTTTACTAGTATAAGAAAACTTTCAGTCTTTGGAAAGAAGTTCTCTTTAATGGGTGTTCTCAAAAATAATTATGTGTTTAATTATAGACAAGTATAGAGATTATTATACCTTCCCAAATGGAGAAACTAGCTGGTGAAGAGCCGTGATTCTATCACCTAATTTCTCCTTCCTCACCTGGGGTTAGAAATTATAAATACAAAAAGAAAGATTAGATGATGGTTTCAATATTGCAATAATTGATCCAATTTCTATCTGATTGAATGATTTTTTTTTCCCATTCTTGAATGGATGAGGTAAGATCACAAGAGGTATAAGAATCTTAATGCTTGAAGAAAGACAACCAAGAAAGACAATATATAGTACGTTATCATCCAAAGATGTATGAGAGAGACTGGGAGAGTCATGAGTTGTGTTTTGCTACCTTGAATGTAGACTGAGTTGAAGAAGGTTGAACCCTGGCTTTCTTAAGTGCCCCACCAGTCGCCGTGCTGTCACACTAGAGAGAGAGAAGAATAGAGAAGATCATTAAGAACCCTAATTAATTGGCCATATTGGATAAATTAAACTAACAAATTAAACAAGTTCATAAAAATTAATGCATTTTAGTTCCAAGAGTCAGCTGGATAATCTTCAAATAAGAAAAATTAAATCCATAAGCTAGCCCACATGATCCAAACACAAAAAAATTGATCTCAAAATCATAATTTTTGATTTCTTAAAAAAAAAAACCTTATATATACCTCAGAGGAACGGTCTGGCGGTGGATGCCTCCCATCTGCTTTGTTGTTAGAAAAATCTAGCATGTTACTACTTAAACTTGTAACACAAGACTTTGGAGATGAAACTGGCATCATTTGAGACCAAGTAGGTTTTGGTGTCTGGTATTCGACATTTCTTGGACCATACATATAGCTGTTTGCTGAGGTCTCTTGCTTTACGTCTGCAACAGAAATATTTGAAGACTGGTTCTGGTGTAATAGTTGATCTTCCCAATTTTCCAACTTGGGTTGAATATTATTGCTCAATCCAGAGTACTTATCTTCTTCACTCACTAATCCACCCCTGCAAATTTCAATTTCTTATAATCAGCATATATATAGAATATTAGTAGATAGAGTAATTAAGAGAAGATGACAAATGAAAGTTATTCCATTTCTAGATCAAGCACATGGGTTCTTAAAGTTACAAAACAACAAAGATATATGAGGCCTTGAAGTATATCTGTAACACAGAAGACTTGTTAACAAATAGTCTATGTAACCCACGCGAGAGAGAGAGAGAGAGAGAGAGATAGGGAGAGTATTCAATTTTTAGATCTAAGAACTTATATAAGTGACGAGGACATGCAACTAAGTTGAAGTATGGTTTGGAGGTATAAAGCATATTAGTCTGAAGTGTGTCGGCAAGTGATTGCACGTATTCGGAATTCAAAAAATTAATTAACCATTCGAGATTTCGAAGTGGCTAGCTCTTCGTTACCAAAAAAAAAAAAAAAAAAAAAAAAAATGAAAGAAGAGAGAAGTGTGTCTTAGTTTCAAAAATCGATCGATACCCACGTACATAGCTTTGTATGTTGTTTGTGTGTGTGTGTGTGTGTGAGAGAGAGAGAGAGGGGGGGGGGGGGGGGGGGGGGGAGGATTTACAAGAGTAGTTGGCTCCAAGACTCTGGAAGCTCCTGGTTATGATCAAGCCAAGAAGATGACATGGGAAGTGAAGAAGATGTTGTGGGTCGTAGTGGTGAGTACTGAGGGAAGAAACTGTAAGAAGAAGGAGCTGCCAATAAATTAGGAGAAGGTTGTTGTGGTGGTGGTGGCCTCATGTTATTGATGTTCCACCAGTTAGGGCTTCCGGCCACCATTTGTTGCACCGGCGAGCTCTGCAGAACACCTCTATTCATCTCTAGCTTCCTCAACAACAAACAGATTCAATTTTCCCTTGTTTTCTTTCACTTTCTCTCTTCACTTTGCACTACTCTCTTTCACTTTAACTTTTCTTTCTTGAAGCTCCCAAACAGGTCTTTGGAGAAACTTTGTGAGGTCTCCTTACTTTAGTTTAAGTAGAGGAATTGAAGCTCTCACTCAAAGTCCTGTTTGATTTAGAGAGAGAATTTGAATATATCATAGGGTTTTGAGAACCTTTGTCTTTGTTTCCTTTCTTTCTCTTCTTCTTTATCAGATTTCCTTTTTCTTTCTTCCTTTCTTTTAATTTATGTCTTTCTTTGCTTTTCTCTTGCTTTTGCTTTATCTCAAAGTAGGGCAGAAAAGATGGTAACAATTCTCATTTAATTAAAAAAAAGTTAAGAATTGAAAAAAGATATAGATCCCGTTATAGTGACTATGAGTGCACCATATTTCCATCGTATCAAGCTAGGTGTCATGCTTTGTAAGGTAGAAATTTTTTAGATGGTCCTCATGACAAACACTATTGGACACGTAAGTCCGAACGAAAATAAAAAATAAATTATTTTTTACATTTTTTCAATACAATTAATTACATTTCTAATAATGATTGACTCGTATCAATAATCTCCAAACCATGTAATAAATTCTTGCTATTGCCATGTTAATTATCATGAGACCTGCATGCAGGTGATAAAATTTATTATTAAATGATAAAAAGTTAAAATAGTTAACAATTATCACTTGAAAGTGATTTACTTTTTATTGATCCAGCTTTATTAAACATCTAATAGCAAGTCACAACTCAAAAGTTGAACTTAAAGGTTTGAAGTCAAATGGAGAAAAGAGTAATTAAAGCTAGATACAATTTAGTAATCACATCTTTACAGGACAAATTAAAAAGAGTCACATCAAGACCAATTTTTTCCTTCTAAATGTTTACTATAAACTTTGTAGTTGTTAATTTCCCGAAAATAAAAATATATGTAGTTGGCGGTCCAGAATAACAAATAAAGATATACATACACAGATCACATAATCAATCACTCTATGTGTTTATGAAATTAACTGTAATTACACAGATTTTTATTTATTTATTTATTTTTGGTAAAGGAAAATTTATTTAAGAAGAAGAATGCATGCACAGGCCATCATTACAGAACATATACACAGATTTTCACCTTAGGGTTCTCATCTTTTAATCTTTTCGAGATAGAAAAGAGTCCATCAAGACAAAATTGTCACTTCTTAAATGGTAATGTAGTTGGCAATGTAAAGTAATTACTGTAGGGGAAGAAACTCAAATATAATTAAAAAAAAACTTGAAACAAATAAAGAAAATATGTATAGTGTGCGTATATATGGGAGTGTGTGTGTGTTTGTGCATATAATCAATCACTAAATGTGTGCGAAATTAACTGAAACTATATTGATTTTTCACCCCCACATGATAGATACGTCCATGCCACCAAACTTTACAAAAGTTTTGTCTTGTTTTTATTCTGAAAATGAATCTTTTCATGTTCTTCTGTATGTGAACATGTAAATTCAGCAATATATATAATTAAAAAAAAAAAAAAAAAGAACAGACAAGCCATGAACACGAAAGCAAATTAAATCAAGTACGTGAATTACTTTTTTTCTTTTTTATTGGTAAAGTAAGTTGTATTGAAAGAGAAATGCAAAAGTGAATAACTGTGGTTGTTATATATATATATATATATATATATATATATATTTCGGAAAGTACTGTGGTTGTGATTCATAAAACTGAGAATTATTTGTCTTCAAGCTGAATATCAAAGTTTTCGTACAAAACCAGTAAATATTGTACCGAAACCATTGGAAATATAGAACAATATTCCTCTTACTATCATTATAGTTTTACAAAGAGAGATCAGTGACTTAACAGTATCGACCTCTTACCTCTCAAAAAGAGATCAGGAGTTCAAGTTTCAAAAGAGACGTATGTGTGTGTGTATGAGTACCAATTAAGAAAAAAAAAAAAAAAAAAAAAAAAAAAAAAAAAAAAAAAAGAGGCAAAACAGAAGAAAGGGATGAGTGGACAAAATAATGATAATAACAAAAATTAAAATTAAAATGGCACAACAACAATATCAATAACAATAATAGTAAATATTACTTGCCCAAAAAAATTGACTAATAATTAAAATTTTCTTCTTCGATCTTAATAAATTTTCATTTAATTAATTACCGAAAATGAAAAAGGAAAAATAAAAGTAAAAGCAACAACAACAATAAATGATATTGGGAATTTTTGTTGTCATGTAGCATCCATTAACCAAACATTTATCATCAACTTTTTGAGGGTTATCTTCTTTTTGTGGCTTCTTATAGTATTTTTGTAACTTTCTTTTGTGTTGCTTTTTTCTTTTTCCTTTTTCTGGGATTTTATATTAATCCAATTAACTTATTACCAGTAACCAATTGCTGAATCTTGATCACTAATTATATATGTTAGCTACCTAGATTAGTTTAACACATACTACCTTATTTTCTACAGGTAAGAAAGAATTTAAAGTGCTCATCATATATGTAATCCAACTAAATAATCAGTGACCTACCTATATATGAAAAATCCCACACAAAAAAAATCTTCTTCGTTTGGCATATGACTACAATATATATAATATGTATATGTCTATATAAATTTATTTATTTATATATTCATTAATGAAAGAACTAATTCTATTCCCAAGAGTTACTTACCCAGTTATCCAAAAAAAAAAAAAAAAATTCTATTCCCAGGAACTTGTTTGATTATCTATATATCTATTTATAATTTATAGGATAAGGTGCAAAAAAAATCCTCTCAACTATGTCTAAATTTACAAATAACTCTTCTGAACTATATTTTATGCATAAAACCCTTTACACTATCACATTTAGTTACAAAATACTCCATTGTCTTACCTATTTTTCATTAAATGACCATAATACCCTTTCTTATATTTTTCTTGTTAAAATAAACTATGAAAAAAATTCATACTAATTTGATGAAATATTCTCCATTAAATTTGCATAAGTTTGCCTTTAATTTTTAAATTAATTATTTAAATAAAAATCTTAAATAGAAAATTTTGAAACAATTTAAGTAATTTCTTAATTTTCATGAATATACTGCATTAAAAAGAAGACATTTTTTATTTACGTAATTTATTAATTTTTTATGAATATTGTTTGAAAAAGAAGATATTTTTTTATACTAAATTTTTTTAAAGTGAGTATAATAAGTTAATCATTTTAGAAAATGACAACTACAAATTTATTTTTTTTTTCATTTTTATAATCAATTGATACTAATTATAAAATTAAGGTAGTTGGTATAATTAATGTTTAAATAAGAGAAAATATAATAAAAAGTAATTTAATAAGAAAAGAAAATTTTAATAACAAAAGGTAAAATAGTTTTTGGTGATGAGTTTGTCCTTAATTGCAACAAATCAATAGTTTGGGGGGATAATTTTTAGTTCAGGGGAGTTAGTTGCAGGCTTTTTTTTTTTTTTTTTTTTTTTTTTTTGCACTTTACCCTAATTTATATATATGCCCTTTTATAATTCTAACACGAGTATTGTATGTACAAAGCCGAAACTGTCCTCAATTTAATCCGCACATAATATAATCTTATAAGGGTATTATTGTCTTTGCAACCCCAACTTGCCCATTTGGAAGAATCATTCCAACTAGTAATATAATAAAAACACTGAAGAATTTAATATAATAGAATTATTCCCGTATTATAGTTTATGAATATTCTCCATGACATACATTCCCTTAGAATGTAAATCAACCGAACAAACAATCCCATTTACCCCCAAAAAAAAAAAAAAAAAATAGAAGATAACCAAACAAACAAACCCTTAAATCTCGACTCGACCCTAACTAGTGTGAACTGGAACATATATTATTTTTTGGGTGGGGAGAGAGTGTATGTGTGTGTTTTTGTGTTTTATCTTTAACGAGAGGAATGGGATGTCTGGTCCGTACTGCTAAAATCTTTGTCCGGGGTACGCTGTCTTTTCCTGTGCATCATATTCCCTTTTCGCCCACACACGCACGCGAATTCTGTAATATATATATATATATATATATATATATGTCTACACATGTGTTTGTCATACAACTATACAAGTGTGTGTTTGTATATTTATATATGTGGAAACATATTTATGTGCTTTACATACATTTTCTGGTTGGTGCATATTGAGCAGGTACATTTTTATTTACTAGTTTTGTGAATTAGTTCACATGCAGTCACAATAAATAATAGTAGTAATAAATTGAGAGTGTTGGAAGGAATGGGCTAAATTACGTATTTACATAAAATGTTGTAGAATTTAAACCACATTTTCACACTTGACAATCCGAATTTTTACCGTGCACCAACAATATTCTACGGTTCACAATCACAATATCTTACTATATTAATGATTTATCATAGTGGTTATCCTACCTTAATCCACCGGCATTAGAGACAAACCTCAGTGTCCTGTTTGTTTCTTATGAGGATATTTTTTTAATTAAAAGTGATGTTGACACATGTTTTGGTTGGCATATGATAATTTGATTAATTAGCTTCACTATCAATATCACTATGATAATTTGATTGATTAATTGCTAATTAGCCAAATTAATAATTTGTAATGACATGGACATTTTTTAAATTTGGTATGTCGTTTCCTTCTAGTCGAATACTAAATCATCAAAAGGTGTGTTGTTTTGTTTCATCATTGGAATACTCGATCATAACATGCTTTAAAAAATAATAATAATAATAATAATAATAAAAAATCCCTTAAATTTATCTTCTATAGTTCTATTTCTCTTCATGATCCCAAGGTGGCTTATTTTATAGTAATTGTTATTAGCTTTTATTTGTACCCCCTAAAACCTAATCCTGACCTTCTTTCTCTTGGCTCAAACCCTAACCATATATATATCAAGAGGAATAGTGGAAATTTCTTTAAGTAGTAAAGACAGCTAAATCCTCAAATTAAGATGTAGACTAGTCTTTTTATGTGATTTTTCTATGAACCCTACATGACTCCTTTGTTGCTGAAAGTAATCTAATATGGGTAGACAACATTTATCAGATTCCATAATTTTGTTAACCAGCAACAACCGATTAACAAATTGCAGGTAACCGCTCTCCAATTCGAGTGATTAATAATATAAGTAAGAATGATATTATTTGGGTTATGCAGCCCTTTTTATGCGAATCATTACATTTTTGAGTTGAAATTGTATTTGGACTAATGTTGTGTTTGCCGACTTGAAATTGGAGTTTTGTAATTAGAATTGATGGAATTGAATAAA